TGACGTCAACATTACGTCACTCAGGACCCACGATTACATTGTTAATATATAAGCCCAAGATATGTGGAGCTGATAAGAGTTGTGTGTGTGTGTACCCGCCTTGTTGGCACCTTGTTGTGCTTGTACGGTCGAGTCTCGGCTCTTAAGCTCCGCCTTTCGACCGTCATTTTTTTTTTTTTTTTTTGAGATATATACAAGAGTTGCTACATTCTTGTACAGCCACTAGTACGCGTAGCGTTTCGGGCAAGTCCTTAATCCTAAGGGTCCCTGGAATACGATCCCCTGCCGCGAAGAATCGTTGCGAAGTCGAAGTCGAAGAATCGAAGAATCATTAGTTCAATGACTCGTTTCCCTCGTTTTCTGATTTATATTTAAAACTGTGTATTGAATTGGCTTCGACATCTTCCTCGTCTAGTTCCTTCCACTTTTCCTTTCTAGTTCCTTTCTTTCTTTCTAGTTCCTTTCTAGTTCCTTCCAATTCTGCCCGAAACGCTGCGCGTACTAGTGGCTTTACAAGATTGTAAATACTATGCTATGTATTCTCTCTAACCCAATGTACCTTCTTGTATATAAATAAATAAAATAAAATAAAAATAATAAAATAATTATAACTTATTTAATAACTCTTAGACTGAACAAGTTCTTTCTGACTTCTCTCTGATTCATCTGTGTTTCCAGTCTCCAATTATGTCCTCTAGTTCTACTGTTCCTTAATTTGAACATTGCTTCTATATCCACTTTGTCAATCGTTAGTATCTTGAACATGTCTTAGTGTCTCCAGAAGACACACACTCTTTGTCTTGTCTAACAAGACAATGTTAGAGAAGATTCAGAAGTATGCCACCAGACTAGTCCCAGAATTGAGAGGTGTGAGTTACAAGGAAAGGCTACAGGAGCTATACCTCGCGTCCCTGGAAGACGGAAGAGTAAGGGGAGACATGATCACCACCTACAGAATTCTCGGAGAAATTGACAGGGTGGACAAAGAGAAACTGTTTAGCACGGGTGGAACGCGAACAAGGGGACACAGGTGGAAACTTAGTAACCAAATGAGCCACAGTGATATTAGAAAAAAAATTCAGTGTCAGAGTCGTTAACAAATGGAATCCATTAGGTAATGATGTGTTGGACGCAGACTCTATACACAGTTTCAAATGTAGATATGATAGAGCCCAATAGGCCCAGGAACCTATACACCAGTTGATTGACAATTGAGAGGCGGGACCAAAGAGCCGAAGGTCAACCCCCGCAAGCACAACTAGGTGAGAGAACACACGCACACACACACACACACACACACACACACACACACACACACACACACACACACACACACACACACACACACACACACACACACACACACACAAGACACGTACAGCTGAAATATACCATCCAGTTGTCAGACACTAACAACCGACAGCAATAATCCCAACCGGCCCCACATAACGAGTCTCTAGAGGACTCCATCGATATTGATAAGTCACGTGGTCACACCTCACCCGCAACACCTCCACACCCACAACACACCCACTCTAACACTCTCACCACAACACCCAACAATACCCCGACCGTCACATGTGCACCACACCACCCGTGAACACCTACACCAACCTAACCAACCTAACTAACCTAACCAACCTAACCAACCTAACTAACCTAACCAACCTAACCAACCTAACCAACCTAACCAACCTAACTAACCTAACCAACCTAACCAACCTAACCAACCTAACCAACCTAACTAACCTAACCAACCTAACCAACCTAACTAACCTAACCAACCTAACCAACCTAACTAACCTAACTAACCTAACCAACATAACCAACCTAACCAACCTAACCAACCTAACCAACCTAACTAACCTAACCAACCTAACCAACCTAACCAACCTAACCAACCTAACTAACCTAACTAACCTAACCAACATAACCAACCTAACCAACCTAACCAACCTAACCAACCTAACTAACCTAACCAACCTAACCAACCTAACCAACCTAACCAACCTAACTAACCTAACCAACCTAACCAACATGCTAATAACCTACCCAATTAAAGGCTCATAAAGCACGAGGCTGGCATATTGAAGGGTAACTATGATAAAATAAGAACCTTTCTAATGTGAATACTATAGGAAACAAGGCTGAGAGAGACGGGTGTACAAGGCATGATGGACTACATCACCCAGAAGTGTCAGGAGGCAGGAGACAGGTTTATCTCGGCTCAAAGATAAAATAATGAAAAGCAAAAGGAGAATCTGTGGTTTAGTCAAGCATGTAAGGAAGTAAGGCAGGTAAGTACAAGGCCACGGAGGAACTACAGAAATGACAGAACACTAGAGAGCAGAGAGACATACCAGAGGGCCAGACAGGAGTACCTCGGTGCGTGAGAAGAGAAGGCTAGAGACTTTAAGAAACGATATAGCAAATAAAGCCAAGACCCAACCAAAACTGCTATACAACCACATCAGAAGGAGAGCAACAGTGAAAGAACAAGCGATGAAATTTAAAAAGGGAGAGGATGGGTACACAGAGAATGACAAAGAGGTGTGTGAAGAATGCGACAAGAGATTCCAGGAGGTCTTCATAATAGAGAAAGAAAAATTTCCTGAACTAAGAGAGGTAGCAATAAACCAAGGAGCCTTGGAAGATATTGAAATTACCAGAGATGAGGTTAGGAGGTATCTGCTAGAATTTGACGTGACTAAAGCTGTTGGACCTGATGAAATCTCACCATGGATGCTAAAACAGAGGCAAAAACACTTTGCATGCCACTCACTCTGGTGTATAACAAGTCACTGAAAACAGGAGACCTGCCAGAAAGTTGGAAGTCAACTAACGGCGTCCTAATATAAAGGGTGACAGGCAGGAGGCACTAAACTACAGGCCGGTGTCCCTAACTTGTATACCATGCAAGGTGATGGAGATCACCTTGCAGGTAGCAGGAGGTCCAACACAAGGTACCATTCAGGAGATGAAATCCTTCATGGATCAGGAAGAGAGAAAGATCTGGAGGTTGATATCACGCCAGACATGTCTCGTCAAGCCCACGTCAACAAGACAGCTTAAGCAGCACACGCGAGGCTGGCCAACATAAGAACTGCCCTCAGAAACTTGTGTAAGAAATGATTCGGAACCTTGTAGTGTATACCTCATATGTCAGACCACTGCTGGAGTATGCGGCTCCAGCCTGGAGTCCATATCTAGTCAACCACAAGACGAAATTAGAAAAGGTTCAGAGCAGGCGATGAGTCACAATAACGTGGCTAAAGTATAAAGTATGACATTCTCAATCGACTTGAGAATGGTCGAGGACGGACTGAAACGTCGTCGTCCCTTCACCTTCTAGTGTGTGGTCTGGTCATCAAAGGTTCAGAGGTCCTCAGGCTAGTCCCCGAGCTGAGAGGTAGAAGCTACAAGGAAAGACTACTGGAATATACCCTCACGACACTGGAAGACAGAAGAGTGAGGGGAGACATGATTACGACCTATAAAATTATCAGGGCAATTGACAGGGTAGATACAGACAAACTGTTTAACACGGGTGGTACGCGAACAAGGGCACACAGGTGGAAACTGAATACCCAAATGAGCCACAGAGACAGTTAAAAAAAATTCAGTGTAAGAGTAGATGCAAATGGAATGCATTAGGCAGTGATGTGGTGGAGGCTGACTCCATACACAGTTTCAAATATAGAAATGATAGAGCCCAATAGGCTCAGGAATCTGTACACCAGTTGATTGACAGTTGAGAGGCAAGTACAAGTAGGTAAGTACACCCTCAAGCAGTAGCTGTAAGGAGGGTGATGAGTGACACTATGTTACTGCACAACTGACAGCTCTGTCTTGACTGTCATTCGAATGACAAGCAACTCGTTGAAACTGTTAAAATACTGAACAATTTGGAGGATGTTAAAACGAAAAATTTCTTCAAAATGTCTGATGTAACACAAACAAGGAGTAACAGTTTCAAACTCAATACGACCCAATGTAGGACTGATAACAGGAGATGCTTTTTCAACCACAGGGTTATTAACCCATGTAACCGCCTACCCGCAGTAGCTGTAAATGCCAAAACGCTGTTATTTTTTTTAAATCCAACTGGATAAGATCATATGGGAGGACCTTCGACAAGCAGCCGCCGGCTTCCTGTCCTCGTCGAGGCCACTAGTGTTAGAGGCCCTCAGGTAAATTCGAGGAATAGAATTTAAGCTTGATTGAAGCTTATCCAAGTCCTTGAAGTTGTGGTTAGACTTAAATTGAATAATACTCTTCCCGAAACGCTATGCGTGTTAGTGGCTTTACAAGAAGGTAAAAACATCAATGCGTTGTACTCTCATAAACCCAATGTACCTTCTTGTATATATAAATATAAATAAATAAATTCAGGCCAATTCGGGAATTCCCGATTGAGAGTCGTAAACGAACCCAACTGTGCCACGGGGACCCTTAATATAAATAATGTATTTCATATATTATACTCATACATATTTCATGCACCCCTTTTTTTATTTATAATTTTGTAATAGTTTTAAACTAATTTAGGTTAAAAAATTATAGACTTATAAAAAGAGCTTGAAATTAGCAAGAAATCGTTTTGGCTTGGGAGTCTAAATCCGGACGCTACAATAACGCTATAACAAACTTTTAAATCATTCATATAAGACTGTTATATTAGTAATTAATAAACTTTCTGAATAATAAAATATTATACATATTTATATATATAAATGGTTAAAATGTAAAAGAACTTACGATATATTGAATAGTTATTATACTGTGCGCGAGTGGTGCTTAAACCGGCTTGTAACACAGTGAATACGAACCCCAGCAGACGAGGGACTCAACTCTAGTACAAAAATATTACAAAATGGTGAGTTTTGGCTTCACTCTGGTTGCTTGTACTTGATCACCACGATAATAGCACCCTGGGACAGGGCCCTCAGGGTGTTAGGGGGCTAGTAACGCTGGAGAAAAGAGCCAAATGGTGGAGGCGAGGATGGCCGCCCACGAGGGAGGCTTTGGCGATGTTGGCTGTCTCCACGCTACCTGTGGCAGCCAAACTATATGGTCTAGAGCACTGGCTCTATCGGTCAATAGAGCTTCGGCCTCTGTGGTTCGAGTCTCCTAGAGCCCAGGTGAATGGAAGATATGCGCTAGTAATTCACAGATCTACAGTATCACAGCTTCCACTTAGGGGCTATTCATGCCCGTGCCACCTCTTTGGGGGGGTGGCTTACTCTCTTATCAGTCATCAATCTATGCACTGGTGTCTTATGGTTCGTGTTATTCTGGTTAGGAACACTTGACTCATTTTTAATCTCGAGTCTTGAGGCAGAGATTGTTGTAGACTTCCCTGTTAGGGGTATGGCAGAGGTGGTTACAGAACGGCTTATATATGTATTGTTAGGTTGTGATAGTTTAGCTTGGGTTCAGGTAAGTCTAACCACTCGGGCTGGACGGTAGAGCGACGGTCTCGCTTCATGCAGGTCGGTTTTCAGTCCCTGACTGTCCAAGTGGTTGGGCAGCGTTCGTTTCCCCTGTCCCATCCCACATCCTTATTCTGACCCCTTCCAAGTGTTATATAGTCGTAATGGCTTGGTACTTTCTCCTGATAACATTATTTGGGTTCAGGTAAGTTTTAAAATCGTTTAGGTAAATTGTCTTCGGTACAAAGTTACATGTCTCCCTCTGAAAGCGTTTGTAGAAGAAGAAAAAGAAGAACCATTTCTGCCTCCTAGTTATGATTGTAGGCCTCACTATACTAATCATTGCACTGCACAAAGCACCTTTAGGCGCTCTTGAGAGTTGTGCTATTTTTTTTCTTTAATTAGGCTATATTTTAATGTTTTCATTACTCTTTGTGTTTTGAAATGGAAATAGTTGAGTTTGGAAACATTTTGACATTAACTTTACCTGAATATTTATAAAAACAAAAATATGTCCTTGACAATTGCACTAAAAAGTTTTTGCCAAAACCAGGTACACAGTACAGTGGTTAAGTGAGTATAGTAAGCATACTACTATAGATACTGCCTACATTGATACTGGTGATGGGATGATACTAAAATTTCTAAAGATTCCAATACTGATTCCACTAAAAAGTCTTAAGTCATGTAGTCTCATGCTAGATTTTTTGTTACATTAATTATAAACTATTTATTCATAAATATTTTTGCTCCAGGTGGTAAGAAAGATAAAACTAGCCCCATCCAACCCACAAGCTCAATGAACGACAAACAAAAATATTAAGTAACAGCCTTTATGCATTTGAAGCAACAAATTGCATATTAAAGGTAATACCACACCTTTATTTACAAACCTTGTATGCGAAGTGGATGAGAGGATACCAGCATTAGATCATTAATATTCAAAGAATGCATTGCCCCCTTTGGCCTGTAGCCAATGTATTCACAATCCTTAGGTTAATGGCCTCAATGCTCACACAAATAAAGGTCACTTCACTCTTGATCTTTAATATACACTTCCAGACACATTTTTTAAATATATTAAATGTTTTGTGGTTATTTATGCTGGATATTTTTATAAATGAGCAGTCTCCGTGGTGTAGTGGTAAGACACTCGCCTGGCGTTCCGCGAGCGCTATGTCATGGGTTCGTATCCTGGCCGGGGAGGATTTACTGGGCGCAATTCCTTAACTGTAGCCTCTGTTTAACGCAACAGTAAAATGTGTACTTGGATGAAAAAACGATTCTTCGCGGCAGGGGATCGTATTCCAGGGACCATAGGATTAAGGACTTGCCCGAAACGCTACGCGTACTAGTGGCTGTACAAGAATGTAACAACTCTTGTATATATCTCAAAAAAAAAAAAAAAAAATACATATTCTACTTGTTAATATCACCAATGTATACGATTCATTCACAAAACCTGTAATCATTATTAACTAATCATTTTAAATTATTTACCCATTTTAACACTAAGTTTAAGGCACCTAAGAAGGATTTTCTTATCCTTGTCCTTGAATTTGTGGCTAGACTTAAATTGAATAACGACTTACAATTTGTATGGCGACTATAATGTACGAGCTTGGTAATTAAGATTCCGGTTACCTGAATTATTTGGTCAACCTTAATGAATCCATGTTCAAGTTCTTGACTTTTGAGCTGGAATAGGAGTTTGGGTAACTGCGAATTCTGCCAAACGAGAAACCCGAATAAATTTGAATGCTAATTTTTGGACATTAACAGTAAAAATGCTGGCTGTGCAGAAAGTAGTAGACATTATTGTCAAAGTGGCATAAAATTTGAATTATAACTTGCTGGCTAAATTTAACCTGAATTTAAGATCATTTGCATAGCCTATGAATTACCAAATGAAAATAGCATATAAAATAAGAATTGTAAAACATGAATTTGAATACAGTATTTGTATACCAGCCCCTTTATTACCTAGTGTGTATAAAAGTCATTTTGAACACAATTCATGCAGCAGGATCTGACTTCGGCACGATTTAAATGACTTATCAACTAGCCAAGTCAGTATAATTGCAATTCTTTAATATTAATACAGTATCGAGTACTGTATCCAACTAGTGGGTATCTGCTTGAATATCCTACCAAAACGTAATCTAATTTAACCCAAACCAGGTTAACCTGATATATACAAGATTGGAAAAAATTTGATATGCTCTATTGAAATAGTACTTGTGTATAATTTGAGCGTACCCTAAATGCTGTACTGTATTTCCACAGTCGACTTCTTTTCTAACCATTAGACTTCTACGCCATTATACAAATCACTCTTTATAAATGCATTTTTACTGTCGTGTAGATGTTTCTACCAAGATAGTGGGTAGCGTAGCGATAAGTGGATACCTACAAATATTTGCAAATGCTCAAGATTAGCTGGCTAGGTTGAATTTACAACAAACCACAATTGACTTGAGAATGGTCCAGGACGTATCGTAATGTCGTCGTTCCTTCACTTTCTAGTGTGTGGTTTGGTCAGCATATTTCAGCCACGTTATTGTGACTCCTCGTCTGCATATGGGTAGGTTCTTGGAAACTAGAAACTAATAATCCATTCCCCCCCCTCCCCCTACCTCCCTCCAAAATTTTGGGTCACAGTATACTAGCCCAATATAATAAGTTGTCACTACATATATTCAGTTGTAACTTCTCTGAACCTATGATATTTATTACAAGGAGCATTTCCCAATTGTATTTTTGTTTTCCACTTTGCAGTCTGTAGCTGTTCCAACCCCAATCAACCCCAAACCATTCCTGAACCAGCTGACTGGTCAAGCAGTCATTGTAAAGCTCAAATGGGGTCATGAATACAAAGGCATCCTTGTGTCAGTTGATGGATACATGAATCTTCAGGTAAGCTATTTTTGTGACTGAGTTTACATGATTTCTGTACATTTTTACAAAAAAAAAGCTGTATTGATAGCATAATACAGTGATAATTATCTAGTTTACTTTTGATTTGGAAGCTTTATTTGTATGTGATTCATGCTGTAGTCGAAAGTGAACTGGTGTACAGTTGTAAAAAATATGTGGCTTAGAATTACTGTACAGCAGTGAGACTATATTGGCATGATATACTGCAATGTTAGAATGAAGAGAATTCAACTTGAAGGATAACTAGCATAATATATATATTCTTTCAGTTATAAAGTTTCTCCATTTTAAATTAGTAGCTTATTAAATGTAGATTAATAAGTAGATTGGAGATTGTAGATCTCCATGGTCATGTACTAGTACTTGCTACTAAGGTATAATTGTTTCCAAAATGTTCAAAAATCAACATAAGTTCAAGACATTAGCATACTCATTTTATAAATTTAAATTTCAAAATACAAAAAAAAAATATTTTCCCCACATGACATCAAACATGTGGGCTGTGCAAGAAGATATCATCTTGAAGAAAGGCCAAAAACTACAAGAAAATAAGTAAACATTGTTCTTTATTTGCATTTTTTATTTTCTTACATTTCTGGTAAGAATAACAGTGCTCTTTTATACCTTGTATCATTTTAGTACTCATAATGGCGACAATGTCTTGAACAGGATATAATTGTTCCTGATCCAGATTGGATGATGATTTCCTCTTTCACTGCTAAACACTGTAGTTATTAGGCTCAAACTCTTGTTCTAAAGGCCAGATGTCTGGACAAACCTTTTGGTGTGTAACATTTTTATTCAATGTATTTGGGGGAGTTGCACATAGCAGCAAATTTTTCTTCTCTTCCCAGCCGTAACTGCAAATTGTAGCAAAGCTTCTGTGATAATATTTATGTTGAAGCTTGTTAAAATTTGAAGAACTGTGGCATATTAAGTGTGAAGTATTGCACTGCTGGTACTAAAAGAAAAGGTCAAATAATTTGGTTCGGTAATATGTGGTAATTCTAGGTAATTATATTACTGTAGTAGAATCTTTTAATATTCATCTATTTTTTATTAGTTTATTGAAGTTGGCTTTCAACGTGTGTATTCCATATGAGTGATCATGAGTAATTTGTAGTAATCTGCTGTTGCCTTGGGGGGGGGGAAGGTCAGAGTATCAGTGTTTCTGCAGATTGGTCAGGAACACGACTTGCTGAGTGGTGGTCTAGTCAGCCAGGCTATGCAAGTCACCACTGCTTGCAGTCTTGTATGAAATACAGCCCAGTTAATGAGAAATCCTCAGGAAGGGGGGGGGATGTTTTTGAACACAGAGGGGTCAGCTAGTTATGCCCCTATGTGTATAGAGCAAGGATGTTTCATAGAATTCTTGGCATACCCAGTACACCTTAATTTCAAAGCTGTTATTTTGCATAATCTGCCATGCCTCCAGATCTAAGGAATTATTGCTTGACTTGCTTAGCCTATTTCTGCCTCCTCCTCCATCTTCCTACCTTCCTCCTGGCACGCTTTGCCATATTTCCCTATTAGTACCTGTAGGTTATAATTCTGTGCAAACCTTATACCAAAAAGTTAATTGCTCAAAATCTAATTTCAGCTTGCTAACACCGAGGAATATATTGATGGTCAGTCCACCGGTAGTTTAGGAGAGGTGCTCGTCCGCTGTAACAATGTTCTTTACATCCGTGGAGCTGAAGATGATGACGAAGAAGAAGGCCAAATGAAGGAATAGTAAACTACCGAATGATACCAAAATGTACCCGAATGGTTTTATTTTATTTTTTTATTAGCTAGTTTAAGTGTGTTGTAAATGTTGGTTTGCTTATTGAAGTACACCAGTGAATGCATTGAATCTGGAATAGATTTTCTGAAACTAAAAGCATCGGTGTGTTTTTTAGATGTAGGCAACAATGTTGAAAATTTGATTACTTATTAAAACACTTGCAGTTTTTACAATAAGATTTGTATAAACGTGTGTAAATGTTTTTGGACCTGTAAAGAATGAATTTGTTTCAGTTTGTATTCAAAATGCTATATACATAATGTAACTTTGTAAAAACTTGTTTATGTAATCCCTTCTAATATGAATGCAGACTTAAATATGTAGAATGTTAGACATTACTGGCAAAAGTTGAATCTCATTCTTCATTGGCCTAAACAGTCAGGCCGCTGGTCAGTTTTGACACAGGTTAGGCGAGTACTGAAGAGTTGTCACCTTTATCGGTCTTTGAGTCTTCCAGTAGATTCAGTGGTTGTGTATACTTCCCCACATGAGCTCTTGAGGAGGGGGGGGGGTCACTGCAAAGACATGAATACCTTCTCCAAATTTGGTTTTCCATTTTTAGGGATGGTAAGCACCCCCCTCAAACAACTTTTTTCCCCTCGGGATTCAACCCACAGTAGTTGCGCAACTCGATTATCTTTACTGCTAAGTGAACAGAGATATTAGGTGGAAAATTGACATGCCCAAACACATTTGGTCTGCCATAAAAATCGAACCCTGGGATCTTTTATTTGTAAACCAACTGCATTGATTTCTTTACCTGTGATGCCGGTGGACAGCAATGAAGTATCTTCCCTTTCCCTGCTTCTGGCCAAGACAGCTTGCTAGTCCCATAGAGACTTCCGGGTGTTACTTTCAGCTAGCCTTTTCTTACTTTGAAGCATCTGCCCTGGACTCGGGGTTGAGTTCAGTGTGCTTTTGGGCCCATTGAGATCCTCTTTCCAGAAGTTTCCTTCATATCTTGTTAGTGTGGCAGCTAAAAGGTCCTTTTCATGTACCTCCTTGATACCTCATGTACTCTCGCAGGATACCTCCTGCAAGATCTGGCTTATGCCTTGCTGATGGACCCTTCCTTCTTCGAGCTTGGGTAGTCTCCTTTCTGGATGCATTACGAGGTTCTGGAGTCTTCCTGGCTGGCAGATTGTTCTTTGTTTCACCTTGGGGCTACGTGCCGTTTTTGTCATACCAGCCTACTGGAGTTGTGCGTGAGGTATTGACAGTCCCAAGTATCTTGAGGGTCTGTCCTTTGTGCCTCTCAATGACTGCCTGTTTGCACCTACCCTATTGTTGGCAACACTTTGGGTGGATGACCTTTGGTCCCATCTGCATCTGGGGTCCTGTCATCAACTTCCTGGGTTTTCTCGATCTGCATACCAATTGGCTCAATATTAGTGCTTGTGGGGTGGGAGGCCCTCATGTGGTGGTCTTTGCCATCTTGCACTCAAAGCTGTATTTCTGGCCACATTCTTCACCGCCCGACTCATGTCGACACGCTGTGTTGGCCCAGTCCCCAATTTGGCATGTAGCCTTGCTCTCCTGTGGACATGGTCACCCAGTTCTTCTCTTCAGCAGCTAAGGCTTGTTGGCCCATTATGGGGCTTTGGCTTTTGTTTTAGGTCTTTGACAGTGGGCTAGGACTGGCCTGGGGTCAGTCAAGCCGGGCTCAGGGAAATGGAACTCCCAGAACCCCAACACAATGTTGTATGTTACCTTATTGGTCAGGGTAGGCATCAGTGTAGTCAGATAGGTTGGGTCACAAACACTTCTCTCAGCCAGCCCTTCTGTGTGTTGGGCACTGTGCTTGCTCCTTTTGGAAGGCGGTCGCTTATGGTTCGTCCCTTCGACGGGGCTGCTCGCCCTGTTTGCAAACTCCTGGTTCTATGATTCCTCGGACTGAGGTGGATTTGGTTAATCCCTTCCTGGTCATTCCAGGTTGGCTTCCTCGCACCTGTATTTGGTCATTTTTGAGTTAGTGGCTTCAGATGTAATCAAAACAATTTAATCTCTTTGGTTGATTTCCTGTCCTGAAATGGGACTCTGTACATCCGTATAAATCTTGTGTTCTTTGACTAGGTTGAAGGTGGGCAGCAAGTTTACCCGCTTTCTACTTTTACCAAACCTGGCTTGGCGAACGTTCACGTACTTGGCTCATCTTTGGTGCTTGGGTGTTAAGAGTTGCCTTGATAACTGGCTGGTGGAGTCCCGGTCAGTTCACGTTTATGCTACCTAGGGACGTGATTCTTTCTCAGCTCGTGAGATTGAAGCAGCAGCAACACTGATGCACAAGGATTTTGACAACCAAAGGCAGAGACAAAGGTTGCACTTTAGGGGAACAAATGGCTTCCTGGACAAAAAATGCAGATGCAATTATTATTAATAAAACATATGTCAACAGCAATATAGTTTATTAATAATATGTACAACACTTAACATTTGTGCATATTTATATTCGTGTTATATTTTCAAACTTTCATGGGTTGAAGGTCAAATACAAAGGAATTAAAACATCCCTATGGTAGATAAAAAAAGTACACAATTAAAAGTAATGCAGCTACTGCTTTAAATTCCTTTATAAAAACATAATTTAACTCTTATTTTGAAAAGTTGAAATTAAACTTCTTTAGTTTAACGAGGTGACCAAAATCGGTACAATAATTGAACCACCAATTCAATTATTGTACTATACCATATATACAGTATACACTTTTTAGCAAATATTTGAATAAAATAAACTTAAAATGCCAGGGAAATGTGTATTGAATATACATGTAAAGGTAATTTATATTTGATATAATGTTACAAGTTACTTAATTTGGATATTTATTAAAATTGACTACTATCCTATAACACTTAGGAAAAAATTACAGGAGCACATTAATGTAAATTGACAACTTTACTCAGGCGCTGGTGTGTGTATGGGTCAAATGGTGTAGTGCCACGAATAGTAGTTTCCAGAGGATTCAGATAAACATCAGTAGCTAGTTCCTGCACTGGAATCTCCTTATCAATCTTCGCAATCTTTACAGCTTCATCAACTTCCTTTCGTACTTCAATGTCAATTTTCTAGAAAAGCAAGAAATCATTTTTAACAATTATTTATTTCTGAACACTTGATCTCATTACATGTCCTAATACAGGTAGACATTAAATGCTTAACATCCGATATAAAAAAGCCCTAGCCTAAGTTATTTATTTCAGCCTTACACTACTATTAATATTCTACCAGGAAAATTGAAGAGGATCTTTGACAAGCCATCAGATTCCTGTCCCTGTTAAGGCCACTAGTGTGGCCAGTTACACGTGTGGCCCAGTTACACACGATATGAAGTGTGACTATGGTGTGCGCACACCAGTAGAGTGGCAAGCAACATGCACACTACCCCTCTTTAGTGTCTATAAGAAGCATCAATCGTTTTATACTGTACTCTCAACACCAGTTCACGGGAATACACAGCTGGCTGGGTAAACCAATCCATTTTATGGACGACACACCCACCACAACACTAGTTATAGGCAAATTATGTGGCACTGCAGTCAAAGGAGTATGATCATTCTTTCACAATCAAACTTGCTAAATGTTATAGAAGAGCCGGTCGGCCGAGCGGACAGCACGCTGGACTTGTGATCCTGTGGTCCCGGGTTCGATCCCGAGCGCCGGCGAGAAAAAATGGGCAGAGTTTCTTTCACCCTATGCCCCTGTTACCTAGCAGTAAAATAGGTACCTGGGTGTTAGTCAGCTGTCACGGGCTGCTTCCTGGGGGTGGAGGCCTGGTCGAGGACCGGGCCGCGGGGACACTAAAGCCCCGAAATCATCTCAAGATAACCTCAAGATTATTTCCCATAGGCTACCGTATCTATTTACTACATAGTTTCTTTAAATCATTAACATAGTAAACTTTCATGAATTGTACAGTTGGGTTAATTTTCTACTTGATTGCAAATCCTTGGCAGGGACAGAAATAGTTGTGAATGTTTCATATCACCTAATGCATCTGTTCACCTAGCAGTAAATAGGTACCTGGCAGTTAGTCAACTGTTGTGGGGTTGCATCCCAGGAAAGGTCAGTAGTTCAACCTTAAAAAGGGGACCTCAGTATAAGCCTAATGTGTTTATATATACACAGGTTGCCTATCCCCAACACAAAATGAATTATTAAAAGCTCAAATACTAAGTCAACATTTAATTATGGGATTTGGCATTTCAACTTGAAAATAACCTATATCATAGGGTTTTCCAAGTACTGATTATGGGAAAAGTGGAGATATACTTGATGCTAGCCTCAGTGCTGCTTTATATTCTTTACCTATTCCATTGAATTTAGTTGTTCCATCATTTCTGCATACTGTAACTAAATAACCCAATCTTCAATTCCTTTTCAATAGTACAGTGTTATTTAGTTACAGTATGCAGGAATGATGGAATAGGTAAGGAATGAATAAAGCAGCACAGAGGCTAACATTAAGTATATCCACTTTTCCCATAGTCAATAATTAAAAAATACCTATGATATAGATTTTCAATATGAAATACCCAATTCAATAATTATATTAAAAGTTGATTATGATGGTATTTGAGCTTTTAACAAAAAAGTCATTTTATTGGGGACAGGCAACCTGTGTATATATAAACACATTAGGATTACACTGAGGTCCCCTTCAAGGTCAAACTACTGACCTTTCCTGGATTGCAACCCCACAACAGTTGACTAACTGCCAGGTACCTATCTACTGCTAGGTAAACAGATGCATTAGGTGATATGAAATATTCCCAACTATTTCTGTCCTGCCCATGATTTCCTTGTCAAAAATGAATCCAACTGTACTACCAAGCCCCTGAAGAATGTAATCCTGTGACAATTTAAATAGCATACACAAAAAGCTGTTTATACCAGGCTTTGCCAACCAATACATCATGCTCATTGTAACACAGGACGACACATGGCCTATTTTACTATCCCTAGTTTACTTACCTTTAGCTCTTCAGTAGTAACAAGATCTGCTCCAATAATGCGGTCTTTGAAGAGCATGATAGGATCACGTGTCTGGCGAACCTCTTGAATTTCATCACGAGTGCGGTATGACGTTCCTGGATCGGACATTGAATGTCCATGATAACGGTAAGTTGCAACCTCCAGAACCAACGGACCCTTCCCTGATGTACAATAGTCAATACAGTATCTGATGGCTTCCCGAACACTCAGAATATCCATACCATCAATCTGCAAATATAAACTTTAATTAAGAAACACTAAAGTTAATGACATTGTTACAAATAATTAGGTCTTCCAGTTCTTGCCCATAAAAACTGTCTGGGCACCTAATTCTTGCTCGTGACAATAATTAGGGTACCTAATTAGTATTCATGCACATTCTAACGAAGTTACTTTCATCTCCATTACCATTTTCTATATAAAAAAATATTTTTAGAAATGCCCAAAGATAACTGATCAGAAATAAATTTATTTCAATTTGTATATGTTATACATTACAGTATTTTGATCATGTGTGCACACAACTGAAAACGGCATCTGGTCGAGATATCCGAATATGAAGGAGGTGGTAAGAAAAACCCTAAAGCTAAGTATTTAAATGTAATTTGGATATTAAGTCTCTTAATTGTAGATACAAAGAAGAGATTTAATAGGATTACAATAATGAAAATTGCAATGCTATTAAATATACTTCTAAAACCAACAAAGTGTTTAAAATAAAATACACATTCTTGTAAAGCTTCCTAAGAGAGACTACTACTAGAATTACCCCCTGGAATTGGGAATGTTTTAGCTATTGGGTCAACTAAATTTGACAATTGTTTAGATATTGTTCAGTGTGCCCACTACACAATGCTGTATTTCAATTCATACATGTCCCACTGCCAAGAATCCTATCCCCTACCATAGGAAACATGGTAATAGCCAGCCATCTAACACCAGTATCTATTGAAGTGTGATCAAATGCAACTTATCAACATGGCCTTCCTCCTACAACTAGAAAGTAGGAATTATTCTTGGTTGTTACCACAAATCTTAATTCGTGGACACTTAATGGAATATAAACCTGCCCCAAAACTGCATTACCTTCCTCAATGCAGTGATTCAATTGTCTTGTTTTCAACTGTCAAGTTTCTATACCTCCATTAGACACGAAAACTACAATGAATCAATTGTCTGATTTCTCAGAATGATTCTACATTTTGCTTTCCCCATTGCCATGTCTCAAGATTCTTAGTAACTGACTAACATAGAACCTATTATATCCTGCTTCCATACTGGGATTCTAAGCAATTTCTAGAAACTTTAATCTTTAACAAGTAAAATGCTACACATAGGCAAGACTGGTCAAGAGCCTTCTTTCAATAATTACTTACCCAAATTCCTGGAACATAATCTCCTCGTGTGTAGTAATTTGTAGAGGCCGACGCCCGGTCCACACTGGTACCCATACCATAGCCATTGTTTTCACAGATGAAAACAGATGGAAGATTCATCAGCTTGGCAATGTTGTAAGCTTCAAAAAGCTGACCCTGTAATATATATTTTTCTTATTTGTTTAGCATTTTACTCTAATTGCATAAAACTGGTAAGATTAATAAAAGAATAATTTATTTATATAATCCTATTATACAATACTGTACTAACATTAAAAAATACAGATGTCTAGAATTATCATGTATTCAAATTCCACAACACTAGTGTCAATCTCTAGACAGCTAGATATCACCTGTTATTACTTTGACAATATAATAATATTTATTAAGCCTATATTATCTCCTCATTTCCATACTATTCAGCAACACTCCTAGAAAACCTGGTTCTCAGAAGTATGACCCCTTGGGTGTCTAGAGATTAGCATCCAGGTGTCAAAATATGATACTGTATAGGACATTGTAGGTTTTCTCAGTACAGTATTTACTAGCTGCATTTCTATGCTGTTTCCACTCCTTTTCATGTATCCAGTAATTCAATTAAACGAAATTAACCACCTTACTACAAAATACTTCCACCAAGCCTCGTTCCTGACAACATCCTGTGTGTTGACCACACTTGCCCAACTTCTTTGTACATCCACAGAAACAATAACTTAACAGGAGATACTGATAGTAGGCCAGTGGGATAGTACATGATTGAAAGAATAAAAAGTCACAACTATATCTGGAGAAATTCTGCACTGTTCAACAGACTTAAATTTGATAGAACTCGTCTATTTATCAAGGTGTCTCAAAACTTGGAGGAAATGTTTTAACAAGAAATTCTGATGATAGAATAACCCTTTATCAGAATGAACTTTACTAATAAAACAATACCAAAATACATAATCACTACCATACATGAGAATATACTCCCAAAAGTCAAATTCACAAACCCTAACACTAGACTGAATGAGTCAAGTGCATATATTATCTACTTACTTGATTGGCAGCCCCATCACCATACAGCGACACATTGATGCCACCATTCCCAAGATATTTGTTTGCCAACGCAACACCTGCACCAACTGGGACCTGAGCCCCAACAATGCCATTGCCACCATAGAAGTTCTTAGTGTACATGTGCATGGATCCTCCTTTGCCCCGAGCTACACCTTGTGCTCTCCCCGTTAACTCTGCCATGACACCTGCCAGAACACAGTTGTAAGATGATGAACCAAAGATCATATTATAAGACATAATTTGTATTTATTTATGAGAGTATAGAAGCTCACAGAATACTATACTTCAACCTGGATCTGAATACTAGTACCCTGCTGGTAGTTTAATATTAAAACTGCTCCACTACAATATCGAACAGTATTGTAAAATGCTAATATTTTCACGAGTGAAGGTACTAATCAAGAAATGCAGCATGTCCAATTTCATGGAGAAACATTTTAACTTACTTGTGACTGAGCAACCCATTACGTAGGCCCATCCATGATCACGATATGCAGTAATAACCGAATCTTCTGGTCTCAAAGCAGCTTTTATACCTACACAGATGGCTTCTTGCCCACTGTATAAATGGCAGAACCCCCGAATTGCCTGCAATTTATTATTTATCAACAGTCAAGTACAGTACAGCATTTTATAATTTTCCTAAAATTCATTACAACAATCTTGAGATATATACACAATACATACACATAATACACACACAATCATAAATGTACAGTATATAAACACTCCAGCCTCAACAACTAGAGCGCAACTCCACAGTCTCCCGAGACTGCCTATTACTGCTATTATATAATCTAAAATATTAGCAAAGTTGATAGTTCAAAAAACCTACAAAGAAAGTTATTATCTTCCCTTCATCCTATCAAATCCTTATCCCCATGTCCCTCCTAAGTGCTATACAGTGGAACCTGTACAGCACTTAAACTCTTTAAGTGCTATACGGACTACATGCTTTAGTTGAAAAGAGCAGGACGTCAGTGCGGTACAGTGAAATGTACCTCTTGACTTTACAATGTTCCCATATTGTGAGAGAATGCAACTTTTCTCAGGGACAAACCTGTATGGTTAGATAACTTATGTTCATAGATTCGGTGCTGAAGGCATCATCAGGTATTCCCTACATAGTTCAAAGACAATCTAAACCAAAAAAAATCTGAGGTGTGACAATGCCAGTAGGCTTACTGGATATTTTGAATTTTTTGTATAGCAGGTTTTCCATTTGGAAATTGTTTATTTTACAAGTAAATTACCTAGTTCCATGGAAATACCACATGTTTTCCAGAGAAAAATATGAACCATATTTCCATAAATAATGAATTGCATTGAAACAAGTTTTAAAACCACTAATTCATATTTGGACAAGGGAAAAATCATTGGGCCTACATTATTAAAAAAAAAAAATTAAATCATATGGTCTGTTTTCATTTTGGTTTTGCCAGTCAGTCTGCACAAATCACCTTAAATACACTGTACCGTAATGTATCAATATACAGTACCATATCTGGAATATTGTATCAAGAAATGTACCTTTGCATAAAATCAGTCTACTATAATAAGGTTCTAGCATATTTACCTATGCCATCCACACACTGAACCTTACATTCAACTATATAAATTATATAGTTTTCTCACACCTTATACTGTACATCATAATTCATTTTCTATTAAAGACTATCTTGAGGTTATCTTGAGATGATTCCGGGGCTTTAGTGTCCCCGCGGCCCGGTCGTCAACCAGGCCTCCACCCCGAGGAAGCAGCCTGTGACAGCTGACTAACACCCAGGTACCTATTTCACTGCTAGGTAACAGGGCATAGGGTGAAAGAAACTCTGCCCATTGTTTCTCGCCGGCGCCTGGGATCGAACCCAGGACCACAAGATCACAAGTCCAGCGTGCTGTCCGCTCGGCCGACCGGCTCCCGGAAAATAAAGCACTATAGGTAGGGTTTTTCCACCAACATTCAAGAGCATATAAAATCATTCATTTCACAAGTGTATGCATGTTAAAATTCTGCACCATAACAAACCTTCTCTTTATAAAGATTACTGGAAGCCGCCTCAAGACGTCTAATAATCTGCATCTGGCGGTAATAGAGAAGAGCTTCATCTCTGGTGCAAGTGGTTGAAGCACTGGGAGGTACATCAAGTTTGTGCAGCTTATATGGTTGATTTTCAAAGGTGGCTTCAGTTGCAGTGCCACCCCTTCTTATTGCAGTCATAAAAGGTGCCAGTGCCCTCTGGTTACAAGACAAAAAAAAGCACAATTAAAACAAAGAAGTACTACACACACACAATATCAAATATATTTAGACTAACTTCTGTATGCTAGTACAATACACTAGATATGTACTGAACATGAAATTAAGATACAGTCTATATAATTATAAATGTTGTTTACAAATACAATGACTAAATTAAAGTCTATTAAAAAACTAAGTTCATAAAGATCTGTAAAAATAAAAAGACGTCAAAGGGCAACCGACAATAAAAATTAATTAATTATATGCACTTGTCTCCACACAACTGACCCATTTTGTGTCATCATTGCAAGCTTCACAAGAATTAAGAACACCAAGTACAGTAAAGATTTTTTTAGCAATACTTTAATTTAGATTCCCCTCCCCATTAATTCCCAGTTTAATGTTCAAAATACAGTAGCATTTGAACTCCATCCTGTGCAACCACAAGCAAGTAGTTAATGAACAAGTATAATGGTATCCCATCCACCCAACACAATACACTTGTTCCTGATCTTCTCTTCAGTCACACTCCAAGATCAGCTTGTATTCAACATTGTAATTTTAGGTGGGCCAAAGTTTCTGTTTATACACATACAAAAATACAGTACACACACATACACACGCGCATGCACACACACACAGTATATATATATATATACTATACCTTAAATGTGAACTTGCACATATTTACAGATACAGTTCTAAATAACCAACAAAAGAAAAGAAGCTAGGCCAAGATGGCTATACTGTACACATTGCACATCACAATTCAAGCAGGATGCAAAGGAAGAATTTGCCTACAGGTGGTGAACCTATCAGCTCTTGTGCATAGGTACACAGTTCTACCCCCTCCCTCCCTCCCCACCCCTAATAGCATAATATTTTTTGTAATAAACCTTTAGAAAAATAAAGTATATCGAGTACTATATAAACTTTAATTCACCCAACACCACACATCTGAAAATAAAGGAAGTGTTAACATTTTGGTCTGTCCTGGACCATTATCAAGTAGTGTAAAGAAAGTGGAAGCAAGTCTATATATAATTTCAGACAAAAGGTAAGAATGTCGGGTAAAAGACAAGAAAGTTGAAGTACATGGCATAAGAATCCAGGACAGACCGAAAAGTATTTTTTTTCCCCACTAGGTGCCAGTTGAGTGCAGTCATCAACTACATTATTATGACTTGCTGTCTGCATATTCAAATGCTGTACATTATGTAAGCAACAAATATAAAATACTAAATTTTTAACATTACCAATTTTGTTATACTACTTCAGTATTAGCATTCATGAATCTGGGTCTTGAAAAAGTAAAACTCATGTTTCATAGCCAGAAACAAAATGAAAAGCGATCTTGTTCATCAGTAAATAACCGTCGTGTCCTGCATGTGCAAGTCTTAAACTAATAAGGCGATGTTCTGTTTCTTCTAACAATCTTGACAAGAAGATAAAAGCAATGATGATATATTTCAATAATTAAACCATCAGTTGTCATAAGAGTTCCATACAATGAATTGTTTCACAAGTGCATAAAATCCTTATAGTGCTCTTCAATGAGGGAGTTGCAACTAGATGGGCACTGTCCAAAATGAGCAAACGTGTCTGCTGTGGCAACTCCTAGAGGTGTTTTCCAGCACCAATATCTGTAAGTGGCAACCATCCATGTCAAGTGATAACTATTGTACTACATACAGTACAGTACTAGTGTCTGCTGGGACACTGGTGCTCACCAGATGCCATATGGCTACTAGTCACATTATTCCCTGTACCTTCCTAATATGTTTGTTGATTATGAATGATACAACAATTTAAAAAATTACGAGCAAGTCAGCAAGTTTAATCTTCAATTTCCTTATAGTTAAAGTCTATACAGAGAGCCCAAAGCCTGGCTACATTAATGTCCAACAATGTGAAAGCTACTGTGCTTTAATTGGAACAATGTGCCATCACTGAATATGACACACTAGAAATAATGAGTATATACCATTGACAATTCCCAGAAGTCTGTCCACATGAGTGATGCAGCACTGTGAGCGCCGGACAATGCACTGTACTGTTCCATTTGTGTAGCATGGAAGAAATTAAAATTGTCATTTATAATTACTACAGTTTACTCTAATTCACACTTATTTACTCTGCATTAGCTTTATATTACAAATGCTAACAGTGAACTGTATTTAATCATGATAATTTTGAAGAGCTAAATACTGTTTAACTATTATCATTCCATGACAAATCTTAATTTTGATACAGTACATCAATCAGTATTATGAGAGGATGTCGTCTAATGGTTGAAGAACAAATGCAATTGTGTTGACAGATACAGCACTGTTATACAGACAGTAAAATGAAGGATAGAAAAGAAAAATGGCTAGTGCAACAGCAGCCTTGGTTCAAGATGCAACTCGAGGACACCATGAAGAAGCAAATGTCTCTCAGTGAATGCATGAAATATCTTTGTTGCACTAGATTAAAAACCAAGAAAGTGATGTGAAGAATATACATTTCCACTATATCCTTCTCTTCAGATTCTGAAGCAAGACGAGACACACACACGTCAATGACAATTTGGCCACCTACAGTAAAGTACAGTTCACATACAGAGAGAGATTTTCACATTTGACATAACCTAACCCATATATGTACAGTATATAGACAACTTTGACATGTTAGCAGGGCAGCGGGGTCTTTGGTTTAATTTTCTTGTGACATTTTAAACATCATATTTTAACAATCTAAGCATACTGTACTTTCATAATTTTACCCATAAGAGACTGCACCTGGATGTCAAACACATTGGTCACAAATATTTTCCAAATTAATTGTGGAATTCTACCATAGTGGTATATATGCAGATGCTCTTCATTTTTGGATATCCTTTATCATAACATACAAGAAATTATGTTTTTTTATTAAACTACCATTTCTAGGGACTGGCAACCATTTGAATACGGGTGACACCCATATGTTTGACACAAAAAACAATTAGTGAAACTGCAGAAGGCCTATTGGCCCACACGGCAGCTTTTATTTACAGTATATCCACCTAACCTATTCCTGAAACACACTGATCCCACAACTATTATGTAACCTGGTAATCTGTTCCACGAATCAATAATCATTTCCAAACCTGTATTTAATTTATTTATATAAAAGAAGGTATACCATGCTGTGAAAGTACAGTACATAAATTGGGGTTTGAGCATTACATTCTTGCAAAGCCACTAACAGGCACAGCATTTCGGGCAGGTCATTATGCTAATCAATAAGTGAAATGGGAACATTGTATCAATTTAATTTCAACATAACTGCATTACAAACTGATAGAATCGATTATACTGATGAAGTTGCATGTCTTAAGTACTAAATTGGGTAGCACAAGGTGAGAAACTATGAGGATGAAATTAGGTACTTTTTGGCATTACTTTTGAATAAAGTATAGGTTGGAAATTTTTTAATTACAAAATAAGTTCCATACACTGGGTCCTCTTATTTGCATGGAGTGTTTGCACAGATTTAGTTTGCCTATGAATACTGGTAATATTTTTTTCTGGTGTGGTGCTCATGGGTTTTATTATGTCGATCAAAGAAGAGTTTCAAATCGGGATTAGAATCAAGGAGCAAGGTTTTCATACATGTAAACGTATCCTATTTATATCCATTGTTGTGTTCTATTTTAAGTTGATATTCAAGTACTTTTATTATTTATTATGAACCATCTTTCACTTAGGCTTTAGGCCTACCTTACAGGAAGCTATCCCAGGTCTCTGTACTTAACCCCCACCAATTCCTCAGGATGTTAATGATATAATCCTTTAATTTAAAATTTAATTTAAAACCAAGTCAGGTGTCCTTGTCGAGATACCAACCCTAATTTTCTCTCCCACACACACACACACACACACACACAGTAACCCCTACCCATAAAAGTGGTGATCTCACTGAAGTCAACAATTTTAGACTAATATCATTCCTGCCAACCTTATCTAAAATATGTAAAAAGCTAATCTACAAGCAGCTCTACCCCTATCTAGCAAAATATAATATATTGTAATTAACTCTAATATGACTTCCAACCCCCCAAAAAGTACCAATGATGCTCTAATTAGTATGATTAACTTTATATATGCAGCTCTTGACAAAAATGAGTATCCTGTTGGTTTGTTGCCTTCGTAAGGCTTTTGACAACCACAAAAACTTTCTTCAACTACAACACTTTGGAGTCCAAGGTCACTCCCTGCAATCTTACCTCAGTGACAGACTCCTGTATACAGTATGTCTATGAATGATGCTAATTCTTTCACCCTACCAATTAACACTAGTGTTCCACAGTATATTTGGTCCTCTTGTCTGTCACATCTACAATGACCTGAATGCCTCTCAACACCTCAAGCCAGTTTTATTTGGTGATGACAAGCTGATCAGTTTAAATGATCAGCTTGTCATTTAAAGACTAAGATGATCAGTTTAAATGAGAAACTAAGTACTGTACCTGGTTATTAAAAAGATTTGACAGGTCATATTCCGAGGAAAAATTAGAAGAAAGAACCTGCCCAAAACGCTGTGAGTGCGTGCTAGTGGCTTTACAAAAAACTAAGAACTCTTGTATATATAAATAAATAAAACTAAAAAAAATACTACCTTATCAATTCTATGTACCCTATCTTACTCCCTAAATATCAATCTCTTTTGCTACTAGTAAACATTAATTACTGAACCTGTAAAGCTGCAGGTACCCACCACGTAAATATTTAAGGAAATTGTATTCCTTCCATTTAATTAGTGAAATTTACTATCTGTTACCCTGTTGCAATTTCTGCTGTACCATGTAATAATTGCCCTTTTTTGCCATTGCTCTACTTCAGTTCACTTTTGATCTTAACTAGTTTTAAGTCTAGTTTTTAAGATCTTTCCATCATGCCTGAAATGCAGTGTATTAGTGGCTTTAAGAATAGTACTTGCCTTACATGTAAATCCTATATTTTTGCATCCTATTTATGTATGTATTTTAGCTTAAATTTAAAAATTATTATTATCAATATATTTTGTCCAGGACATCTTACCCACTTATCTAGTTACTTCACATATTTGCAAATAAACATACACGATTTAAATATTAATACCTTAACAGGTTTACTAATAATACTTTAAAAGTAAGACATTAAGAAGTGGAGATGCACTATGCCATGATCAGACAAGATCTGCGGCCAATAGCCGCTTAGAGAAAAAATATTGTAAAGAAAGTTGGCCAAACATCTACACTTCCTTATGAATATTTGTATATATATGATATATATATTTGGCATATTTACATAATGTATACATGTAGTATATATAAACATATATACCTGCCGGATACAAGTCATATCGTACACAAGACGATTCGCTAACGCATTTTGAAACTTGCCTAACTTAACCTACTTTAACCTAACCTAACCTAACCCACCCAAGCGAAGTACAGTCTAACCTCAGCTAATACATCCTACCATACCAATATACACGGTTTTAATAGACAGAAAACGAGTTTCGTCGAATCATCTCGTGTCGGAAACCACCAATACCCCCAGACTTGCCGATAATTTACGAGACCACCGCCCGGTTGCAATATTTTCTCCAAGTATGTCGTCTGCAAGACACCATCCGGCTCCCCATAGCATCTCCACTACCAGTCATACACAAGGCTCGCAAAAACGTCGTTACTATACACTCAAATGAGGGCATTCACACTCACCTGGCTAGTCTGGCCCTGGCCAACAACAGACCTTAAAAGTTTGGACAACATTGTTAAGTGTTGGTCAGCGTGTTGACCCCGTCAGTGTTGTGGCCGTCAGCTGGAGTGGGTCGGCCACGTCAAGACAGCATCAACTCCGCAACACATGTCAACCAATATTATAGCTTTTAGTTAACAAAATAACACGTCAATACTACTTATTTTAGGTTTAAGCTTGATTTACAATAAATTTAAATGATGTTATGTTAGATTAATAACTATGGTTATAGTTTGGTTTTCAATGTGTGTGATATTTTTAGATGAGGCTGACTTGGACTTGGTGGTGATTGGGTGTTCAACACACATTATTACGAAAAAATAATAGTAGTAATGCACTCACCTAGTTGTGCTTGCGGGGGTTAAGCTTTGTCTCTTTAGTACCGCCTCTCAACAGTCAATCAACTAATGTACAGATTCCTGAGCCTACTGGGCAGCTCTATCATATCTATATTTGAAACTGTGTATGAAGTCAGTCTCCACCACATCACTTCCTAGTGCATTCCATTTACTAACTACTCTGACACTGAAAAAGTTCTTTCAAATATGTCTGTGGCTCATTTGGGTACTCAGCTTCCACCTGTGTCCCCTTGTACGTGTGCCACCCGTGTTAAATAATCTATCTTTGTCTACCCTGTCAATTCCCCTGAGAATTTTGTGTGGTGATCATGTCTCCTCTAGCTCTTCTGTCTTCCAGCGACGTGAGGTGCAGTTCACGCAGCCTGCCCACATAACTCATGCCTCTTAGTTCTGGGACTAGTCTAGTGGCATACCTCTGAACTTTTTCCAGCTTCGTCTTGTACTTGACTAGGTACTGGCTCCATGCTGGGGCTGCATACTCCAGGATTGGCCTTACATATGTGGTATGCAATGTTCTGAAGGATTCCTTACACAGGTTTCTGAAAGCAGTTCTGATGTTAGCCAGCCTCGCATAGGCCGCTGATATTATTCTTTTATGTGGGCTTCAGGAGACAGGTTTGGCGTTTGGTTTATATATCAACTCCTAGATCTTTCTCTCTGTCCGTTTCGTGAAGGACTTCATCTCCTATTCGGTATCCAGTGTCTGGCCTCCTAGTTTCAATGCCTTACATTTACTTGGGTTGAACTTTAGTAGCCATTTGTCGGACCATTCCTTCAGTTTGTCTAGGTCATCTTGTAGCCTTATACTATCTTCCTCTGTCTTGATCCTCCTCATAATTTTTTGCATCATCAGCAAACATTGAGAGGAACGAGTCAATTCCTTCTGAGAGATCATTTACGTATATCAGAAACTTCAGTCCTTGGACCTATACGTATATTACGTAAAGGTCCAAGGACTGAACCCTGTGGGACTCCATTGGTGACTCCCCGCCACTCCGAGACCTCACCCCTCACAGTGACTCGCTGTGTCCTGTTGCTTAGGTACTCCCTTATCCAGTGGAGTACCTTCCCTTTCATTCCTGCCTGTATCTCCAATTTAATGTGCTTTGTATGGGGTGCATAATAAATGAACTAAACTAAACTAACTCGGGAACATGCAGCCTCTGTACTCACCTAGTTGTACTTGCGGAGGTTGAGCTTCGGTTCTTTGGTCCCGCCTCTCAACTGTCAATCAACTGGTGACACCAGTCTGGTATACAGACTCCTGAGTCTATTGGGCTCTATTTATTTAATTTTTATTTATTTGTTATTTATTTGTACTCAGCTTGTTGTAAGAGTTGTTACATTCTTGTACATCCATTAGCACTCATAGCGTTTCGGGCAGGTCCTTAATCTTAATATTCCCCGGAATACGACCCCGCCAGATCGTTTACCCATTTTACTGTTGAGTAAAGAGAGGCTACAGTTAAGGCTTTGCACCCAGTAAATCCTGCCCGGCCAGGATACAAACCCAGGACAAACTATATTTAGGACTACCAGGAATATCATATCTATATTTGAAACTGTGTATGGAGTCAGCCTCCACCAAATCACTGCCTAATGCATTCCATCTGTTTACTATCTTGATACTGAAAAAATTATTTCTGATGTTTCTGTGGCTCATTTGGGTACTCAGTTTCCATCTGTGCCCCCCCCCCCCCATTGTTCGCGTACCATCCGTACTAAATAGTTTGTCTTTGTCCACCTTGTCAATTCCTCTGAGAATTTTGTAGGTGGTGATCATGTCTCCCCTTACTCCTTTATGTTCCAGGGACGTGGTGTTTAACTTTCCCCTGTCCAGGGACGTGGTGTTTAAATTTTCTCTGTCCAGGGACAGGGAAAAGCCGTCCCTGGACGGCACATATACTGCATATGTAGCTACACATATATTCAGCTTGGGCACTAGGAGCCTCGAACACGATTTCCGTCATGGAAGACAGTTGCTCTATCAACTGCGCTACTGGGCTAGTCTTAGCAGGATCCGAAGCCAACTATCCAATGGAACGTGCCATCCCTGTGGCTGCCAGTCGTGCACAGGAGAATTAGGTGATCCACGCCGTGCCATATCAACTGTATACCACACTACCGTGGATGTACAGTAACACTTTATTAACATATACATGGAACCCCGAAACGCTATGCGTACTAGTGGCTTTACTGTATGTACTAGCTCTATCTATAAATCCAACATTATGTTTGTAAATCAACTATGTATGTACTTTACTGAATAAAATTTACTTTACTTACTTACATCAACAATACATCTACAGTTTAGTTTACCTTAATCAGCATGAAGCTCACTGTGATATATATAATGGCTTCAGGAACTGAGCCGAGCCCCAATGTTCGACACGCTAAACATTTTACATGTGTAATGTATTTATTGCATGCTTTATTACTTCAAAATTGTGATTACAATTCGTAACCCAGAGACAGTGCCTAGGAATATTACTGAAGTAAATACCTTAGTATGTTATAAACGCACGAGTGAACAGTTCTAGGTAGGAATATGATCTGTCTCACATGTCTAGTATACATACTACGGCATATGGAACTGTATACCTACTTCAGCATATGACCCATATGCTGAAGTACGCAGGCCAGTAGGTCTATTGAGGCATATAAGCCAACATATTTGTTACAGTGTTCCTTTCAACAGGTTTCAATATAAACATTTTGCCCATATCCGAATTACTGTTTCCACTAAAAAAAGTACAAAGTTAAAATTGCTACTTTAATTTTGACTAAATAAATGATATTTTGTATATATATTAGTTTTCTGTAATATTAAAACGTATTTTGGGCATGTGAAGAGGGGAAAATTAGATAGCAGTTATCAGAGCCTGACTACACGTCCAGACGAAAATAATTATGTGGAAAATCACACTTCATTTCCGGCCGCCAGAAAACGTGACTGGTCGCCCAAAATGACTCGCTTCACATATACCGTTTTTGCCACTTCATAGCCATCAGCGAAAATATATCCTACAATTCTTGTGCCTAAAACAGAATGTACGCCTTAGAGCGTAGTAAGTATATGGCGCAGCAAGAGAGTGGTGTGCCGGAGGGAAGGTAGGATTACCGTTGGTTTGTTTCAGGGTGGAGAAGAAAGGGCGTCCTGATGAGTCCTACCAGTGTCTCAGCGTCCGGTGAGGTTGTCGCACGCAAGCCTTTCACCTCTCCCTACCAGTCACTCAATTACACAACGTTGTGTAATATTCAGATATTTTAGTCGGAATTTAAGCTAATTGTGTTTCTAGTGTGCATATGGGATGTAATTGGCTGCATTAATAATTTACGGCATTGGATAATGTGTCCTAAATTGTTTTTCTAGGACCAGAAATTAGCGAGAGACTATAATTAGTTATTAAATGAATATATAAGAACTCGTAAAGACAGGAATCAATGGGGTTGAGGTACGACACCTTACTAGTGTGTGTAATATTAACGTCGGTGCTACGGGGAGAGTGTTCTGTGCCAGCGGCCACCTCAGAGTTACCAGCATGGACCCTTCATGGTAAGTCATAACTACACACACCTGAGAATATCCTCCTTGTGTATCCTAACTCTTAGTTTAACTCTTAATTCTGTGTTTTAACAGAATCTCTCAAGGTGCTTTTCGTGTGGCACACAGAGGCAGGAGGACTTGCGTGACCTCGAGATATTACTTGAGTGACTGATGACTGGGTCGGCAGCCTCGCCAGGGTTGCCAGATCTAAATTGCTGAAAGTAGCGAACTGACGGTCTAAAAGTAGCGAATTTGTAATAAGAGTAGCCCAATTTTTTTTAGTGAATGATATGAGTTTCAAAGTAATATATTTTGATATATAGAGTACACTACACGATGTTAATTGTTGTATTAATATTATTTCTGCACATACACACACACACACATATTATATATATATATATATATATATATATATATATATATATATATATATATATATATATATATATATATATATATATATATATATATATATATGACTATAAGTGACTCGAACCCATACTCCCAGGAGCAACACAACTGGTATCTACAGGACGCCTTAATCCGCTTGACCATCACGACCGGACAAAAGGAAGTGATAGCCGAAGCTATTTGAACCACTTCCCCGCCGGCACTCGGATGGTAATCTTGGGCATAGCATTTTATCAAATCACCTCATTCTTTGGGGCACACGTGAGGAACACAAATGCAAACAAGCCTGAATGGTCCCCAGGACTATATGCGACTGAAAACTCACACCCCAGAAGTGACTCAATAATTTGATAATAAGTAGTAAGTACATAAAAATAATTAAAAAGTACAGTTTAGTCATAGGAGATTCCTAGATTGGAATTCACTACCAAATTTCGATATATCCAAGTATTTTTAGTGTGAAATGCTGTTATTATATGCATAAATTGTTGTTTTAATAATATTACGCTTAACCACTTGGGCTGGACGGTAGAGCGACAGTCTCGTTTCCTACAGGTTCGTGTTCAATCCCCGACCGCCCAAGAGGTTGGGCACCATTCCTTTTCCCCGTTCCATCCCAAATCCGTATCCTGGCCCCTTCCGAGTGCTATATAGTCGCAATGGCTTGGCGCTTTCACTTAATAGTTCCCCCACCCCCTGAATAATATTACAAGAGCAGTATTTATGGGCTATTCATGCCCGTACCACCTCTTGGGTGGCTTAATCTTCATCAATCGAGAGCAGTACGTCCTAACCAGACGTGATATGATGATATCCTGAACAGTTGATAAATAAAAGTAATTGCATAACTCCAATTATCTAATATTTATCATAAATGGTATAAAACCTTATCATAAGACAAGGGATTTGTAGATCAGTGTTTAAAGGGAATTCGGAAGTAATAATAACACAGCTGATGCCATCTGTCGGCAGAAGAGAACACTATCAACTAGCTGGTCAATAGTGGCCATAAGATACAGCTTACGCCATCTGTTGACATCAAATTACACTTATAACAAATTACCCTACAAAATACAACTAACGCCATCTCTATTTTTTCCAACGCACTATAAATAGCCAAACAGCAACCCATAAGGTGGGTTGTTGTGCTCGGGTAGGAGGTTCCAAGCTCTGCCCACAGATGGTATGGGGTGCATAATAAATGACATATCATTGGTAGAAACTCTTTGTTGACATTCACACAACAGCCAATCACAGGAAGGGATCAGCTAAAGGCTCCATCCACTTAATAAATCCTCTTTATTCAGCACACCATCCTTGCTTATGACATTCTGCTTCAACTTTAATCTACCTAAAAAGTGAAATATTAAGTATTTAAAAGTATTAATAGTGATAATTAAATACTGCAGGATGTAACGAGTGTTACAGAAACATGGGCTATAGGCTACCTGACTTGTGACGTCATCAGTGGGTGTTGCCTCACACAAATAATATCGGCGATACAATGCCTCCGCCCTCTTATTGCTCTACATTATTCAGTTAGATGGAAATTTCTGTCTTGTATAAAACATAAATTATTGTTCTTTTGTACAACAACAAGGTTATTGAGCAAAAGGACGTATTTCTTATTTTGCATTTTATTCATATAAGCGTTGGCATTCCCATCAACAGCCACCAATCACAGGAAGGAATCAGCTATAGGTGCCATCCACTTAGTAATTCATCTTAGTTCAGCCCACCAGTCCTCCTTATGGAATTCTGCTTTAACTTTAATTTACCCAAAAAGTGAAGTGTTAATTATTTAAAGTGTTAATAAAGTGATAATTAAATATTGCAGGATATAACAAATGTTATATAAAAATGGGCGGGCTACCTAACTTGTGACGTCATTATTGGGGGTTGCCTTAACACAAATAATGATACACTGCTCTGCCCTCTTATTCGAGTAAATTATTCAGTTAGATGGAGATTTCTGTCAGGTGCAAAACTGAAATTGTTGTTCTTTTTCACAACAACCTTGTTGTTGTGCACAAGGACCTATTTCTTAGTTTAAGTTTTATTCATAAAAGAGTGTTGGTATTCCCCGCAACAGCCAATCACAGGAAGGTATTTCTGGAAGCTCGGCCTCCTTATGGACTCAGCACATCGCTCTAGCTCATGGCTCTTTGTTTCATCTCTTGTATATACAAACTAAGACTTTTTTGATTACTGTTATAATTAATAATATGAGATAAAAGTTTTTACACAAAATGGCTAAATTCTGCCATTAAATGGACTTTGTCTGGTATACATACAAACATAGACCAATTTATTACCATTCATCCATTATTAATTTCAAATGTAATGTATACTGTCTAGTTTTTTCCTCTCGCCATTACTTGGTGCAATATTTGAAAGTTGTCTATTTATTTATCGATCTATCTATTATCTTGTATTTATATTTACAAGTTTCTGTGCTTGGAAGAAAACTGCTTTGAATTGGGACTAATTTATTAAATAATATTATTTAGTATTAATTAATATTTACAATTATTATTAATCACAATTATTTATAGCTTAGTTACTTTCATGTAACTCGCAATCGTACATTCTTAACATTAATAGCCCAAAATTAGCACATCTTGCTTCTAAATTAGCCCAAAAAGTAGCAAGTAGCGAAATTAAAAATTTGGGAGCGCGGGGCTCCCAAAAGTAGCCCAATTCGCTATTTGTAGCCCAATCTGGCAACACTGAGCCTCGCCTCAGTGTAGACTGCACCTGCAGTAACATCAGGCTTCATTTCTCTATATTGCCAGAAACTTATTAACTATTTGATTGTATTTATTCTTCTATATTTCGTATATATCTGTTTTGTTTCTCTATTATTTTATCTATAATGTATATTATTTTATCGATTCAATATTATTTTATTGATTTATCTTTAATATCTAATTATTGGTTTGGCATGTACTTATTAATAACCACATTTGCCCGGGTTCGATTCCTGGCCGATGCACGTTTTAACGGGGTGAGAATAGCTTGAGCTACCTCATCCCTTTGTGTGTATTTTACCTCAATAAACTTATTTCAATTTCAATTTCAATTTCAATTTGTTAACTACTCATTTCCTTTAGAAACTCTTCGTTAAAATACTTCATAATGTCACCTAACGATAATTATTCTTTTTAAATTTTTAAATTTTGCCCCGAGGGCCGATTTCATTGGGCAGCGCCACTTATCCTGTGAGTAGACACACTGCCATAGCCGCATGTACAACACTCCCCAATAGGAAGAAAACCCGCTGGGTTGTTCATCCTGTCACTTGTACACAGACACAGCTGGGACTTGCTTAACTGTCTCAATTGAACAGTTTTTCAAACAAGATTAACATCTGGCAACCCTTAAAATCTTACGTTATCTTGCGGGTGCAATATGTGGGAATCTTTTAAGAACAGTATCTATATTTGACAAATAGTATTTTCCTAACTCAAACAATGTGGGATTTATTATTCTACACACATTTCTAATGACTTAGAAATTTATATTTCTAATGAGTCACAATAATTATTGTGGTGGGGAGAAATGTAAGCAAAGGAATAACCACGAGAGGGCGGGAAAGACTGTAAGGAAGATCCACAACTGGATTTAGCATATCTCCCGTGCCAGGCAAGTACGACGGGCTCACCACAGCCTGTGATGCTTAGAACTTTGTGTTCAGCGTAGCTGAATCTAAAACAGCAACAACACCTGGATATAGTAGGTGCAGTCTTTCAGGCGAGCACCACCACTCAGGTCATTCACTCCCTTCTCGCCATCCTCCCTCCCTCCCTCCCCCCTTCAAAACACAAACACACACATACTCTCACAAATGTTCAGCCCCAGTTACAATCAGAAACGTCCAGATAGGGTAGCCAAACGTCCTGCTTTAGGAATGACAGTCGTTTTTAAGTACTCTGTCCTTCGCGAAGATGGCATTTCCAAATCTCCATAAAGGACTCAACCGCTACACACACATTATATATATATATATATATATATATATATATATATATATATATATATATATATATATATATATATATATATATATATATATATATATATTATTAAATATGACCGAAAAAGTAAGATTAATAATTCTAACACGAATTTTCTCAATCTTTCGTACATTACGCTTCACTGTTGGAGGTAAATCAAAAATCAATTCTCCAAAATTCATTTTTATTTCTAGTCTAACGCGACACGGGCGCGTTTCGTAAAACTTATTACATTTTCAAAGACTTTAGTTCACAAATACACAACTGATTAGAACTTACGTATCTCCGATTTTTTATATCTACATTTGAGTGAGGTAGGAGTGGTGATGTGGCATTAACACAAGACAGAACAAGAGGGGATATTAATAGGGTATTAAAAGTATCAACACAAGACAGAACACAAACAATGGGTATTGAATAGAAGTGTTTGTAGAAAGCCTATTGGTCCATATTTCTTGATGCTTCTATATTGGAGCGGAGTCTTGAGGTGGGTAGAATATAGTTGTGCAATAATTGGCTGTTGATTGCTGGTGTTGACTTCTTGATGTGTAGTGCCTCGCAAACGTCAAGCCGCCTGCTATCGCTGTATCTATCGAAGCACTACACATCAAGAAGTCAACACCAGCAATCAACAGCCAATTATTGCACAACTATATTCTACCCACCTCAAGACTCCGCTCCAATATAGAAGCATCAAGAAATATGGACCAATAGGCTTTCTACAAACACTTCTATTCAATACCCATTGTTTGTGTTCTGTCTTGTGTTGATACTTTTAATACCCTATTAATATCCCCTCTTGTTCTGTCTTGTGTTAATGCCACATCACCCCTCCCACCTCACTCAAATGTAGATATAAAAAATCGGAGATACGTAAGTTCTAATCAGTTGTGTATTTGTGAACTAAAGTCTTTGAAAATGTAATAAGTTTTACGAAACGCGCCCGTGTCGCGTCAGACTAGAAATAAAAATGAATTTTGGAGAATTGATTTTTGATTTACCTCCAACAGTGAAGCGTAATGTACGAAAGATTGAGAAAATTCGTGTTAGAATTATTAATCTTACTTTTTCGGTCATATTTAATAATATATGTCTACAGGAAAGACTGCTACCAAAATATACTAATATATATATATATATATATATATATATATATATATATATATATATATATATATATATATATATATATATATATATATATATCCTGTGAGTGGATATCCTGTGATATATATACATATATGGATGTATAGCTGGAAATCGGGAAATGACAGATACCACAAATAAATTACCACGACGAATTGCAATTATTAAATATATATAAACTGCAAATATAAAGAAACGGAAGATGCAGCATTGTCTTCCTAGAATTCCTTGGTGATCCCAGCCAGATGGCTCAGTCGTCAGCTTCCTCTGGGGCCCGTCACTTGACGCTAGTTACTGCGTTTCTTTCTTATGTTGTCTTCTTCCGTTCTCAGGCTGGGCTCCTTGCTGCTTTTCCTGTAATGTTTACACTCCAAATCCTCGTTTTCTATAGTTATCGTGTACATTAATGCTGCCTTAATTTTGTTTATAGTGAAGAATGTTAGTATAGGTTGTGCTGCGTGTTTCTCTTGTCTTAGTTCACCAGGTACATGTGTTAATGGTGTCTGTGAAACTCTTTAAGATATCGTCCGGATGTGCCTTCCTGGCACACAATACTGTTTAGAACAGTGGGTGTAAGCAGACATATATATGTGTACATTTGTGTACACTTGTGTACACATTTTTATCCTTCGTAATTGATCACGTCACTCGGTCACACACACGTTAGGGCCAGCACCGGATGGGTGATCAAGCTGACAGTCTTACCCTTGGCTAGGGGGAAACCTTGTTAAGTCTAGCAGGCTTCCTGTCCCCGATAATAGTGGACTCTACCATACCATATATATTATATCATATTTACCATGTCATTTCAACTATGAGTCCCTTAACATGCTAAACATACACTCACTCCACACATTCTCATGTGCTATCTACGTGAACAAAACTTTGTTCCTAAATGCTAATCTAAATGTTAATGAATTAAAAAATTGTCCAACCCATGCCCTGTTCAAAAGTAAAATAAAAAATTACCTAATTTGATCTTCATAGTTTCCTACCTTGTGCTTCAAACTCACACTTTATCTTGTACTACCCACTTCCCCAATATTAGTACTTGAGACATATATTTATACCAGTGTAATCACCTCTGTCAACTTATGTTGTAGTTATTTGTAGATACAAAAACCTTGCTAAACCCTTTTCATCTTACCTTAATCTTCATGTTAGATTAAAGACCTGCCCGAAACGCTATGCGTGTTAGTGGCTTTGCATGAATGTAAACATACCAATCTTATGTAATCTAACCAACCCATAGTACCTTCTTGCAAATATATTATCATTATTATTATTATGAGAACTGGGCAGTCAAAGAAAATATTGCGTTGCCAGTCGTCTTGTTGGGGAAATGCCTAAGAATGTCGACGTCACATGACAAACAATTCGCGTGAAAATACCCACCAAAAGCCTGCGTCATACGACAACAATTCGTGAGAAACTACAGACCAACACTTACGTCACAAGTCACCCGAAGTACATCTGTGTCGGAATTATGACTGTGTCCGGAGTAGTAAATCTTTCCTATTTCGTTACGTGGGTTTATAAATGCCTACTAAAACATATTTGTATGGGCAGTTTACCCAAGCGTACACACACATCCCACCGCAGAAACCTATAATATCAGCGACCAGTACAATCAATCAGCCACACTATTAACCTCATAACCTGCCACCATTAACCAGACCGCAGATACTTCCATTACCATTACTGCTAACTCCCATAATTACCACTAACTGCGTTCTGTAGGACAGTATCTACGTCCTCGGTTCCCAATCGAGCAACCCGGGTTCAAACCCCACCCAGCCTGGATGATTGGACACGTTTTCATCTGACGCGCCTGCTTATCTAGCACTTAATAGGCACCTGGGAGTTAAACAAGGGTTATGGGCTGTAGCTGTGAAAGGAAGGTAAGTAGTTGACCTAAGCGGACCTCTATAAGATTTAGTACAGTCTTCGTATCCCCGACAACGGGAATTAACACCACCACTAAACACACCCAACCTCCATCACTAAGACCACCTTCACCTTCTCCCAGATTGCCCACTACCCAGCCGACCTTATCGTCATCCCGTCAGTCTACACAGACCTGGCTGGCTGAACCTGAAGAAGCAGGTGTCCCTCTCCCCAAAGTTCTGGTTGTCGTTCTATGGCGTCACCCACAACATGGAGGCGTGCGGGCTCCGAGCCGGGGTGGTGTACCAAGTCGTCTCCTCCACCCTCCCCAATACCTTGCAATTCCTCGAGCAGCGGGACGATGACGACGACACCCAGCCAGAAGCCTCAGACTGTAAGGACGAGTTCATGGTGTTGAGCAATGGCTCCTACGGCTTTATCTCCTGCAATCAGAGTGAGTGTTTGTAATTTATTAACGAGTTTTGTCGTTCTGGTAACACTGGTTAACAATATGTCAAAAGTTGTCTGCTTCCGAAATGAGAACATGTTTGACATCCCTTTGACGTATTGAATTTAAATATAGTAATAAAAGTTTCTGATTAGTTATTGTTTGATGTGTGAGGGTTATTAAATAGGCCAACCAACAAGTTTGCTTTAGTTCAGAACTAAAGGAAACTTTCAATAACCATTAGTACAGGCCTCATGTCTCTGATAAGGGCGGCAATTATTTAGATGGATGTGTTCGGATTGGTCAAATGGTTGCTATATAATTCACTGTAATATAAAATTCATATTTTGCACTTTACGACACAAGCTCGGTGACTGATCGATAGTTTACATGGCGTCATAACAACGAGATCATTGGTGTCAATGTGGGGTGTGGAGGCTGGGCAATAAACTTGCTTTCTGGCTGGAAGCAAAAATTTAAAAAAGATGGAAGACACCTGCTTACCATTCCACCCATTTATTATATTTTCAGACAGACAAAAGGCGACGGAGGCGGCGTGGGCGTGGTGGGGCACAGTACCGTACCCCTATATCACCATCGTGCTGATCAGTGTGGGCGTGGCCATGGGCGTGGTATTGTTGGTAGGCCTAGGGGTAGGCGTGGCCTGGCGACGCCGCTCCAGAGGTAACGCTCAGTTAGCCTAGAAAACCGAGACCTATCACCCACTTCCCACAGAAAATGAGATCTTGAAGCGTCAGTTTCTTCACGAGTAACTACCCTAGAAATTAATTTAATCCGTATCTGTTTGAATATATAGGTAACCCTTTAAGAATTTGGTCACAATTTCCATAAACTCCTTATGTAAACAAGGCTATGAGAAGTAATATATGATCAATTTCAGCTCTAGGGGGCTCCAGCTCCTCTCACTGTTTTGCAAACAAAAATGGCCTTGAGGAGGGTTCTGTGCTTGTTGTAATTGTAGTAACCATTCCGAAACTTCATCTTACCAGCACTAATAGCATGACACACTCGGTGTTCCTACAAGCTATGTGATTGGCCATAATAATAATATCCTCTACCATTAGTGGGCTTTTCTCCCTTGATGCACCAGTTTCAAACCCGCCTGGCGCTTGTTTACATTAGCTGAGCTGCGAGAACCGATTGATTTGGCCCAGAACCAGTTAAACGGAACCCCAGCCTCGAACCAGCATCAGGGGAACGTCTCTTCTCCAGCAATACAAGCTACCCTGACGCCAGGTACCTGCTGCTTCTCGCCACACAAGACACCTTTTTCAACATAGGTACTTCCACATTCAAGCAGCTACCCTACTGTACATTATATGAAGGGTTTTATAGTTTGTGTCAAGAGCAGGCTAAGTGATAATAAAAATATGTATCTCACAGGATGGTTAATCATACAGGAAGATGTGATAGTAGCCTGCAGTGGCAAACTTTAGGTGCATTATAAGGGAGTGAAGAACAGGGAAGTAAATATATATTTCAAAGTTACCGGTACCTCATACCGGCAGGTTAATGAATGCACATTCAATAATGTAGTGTGTGAGATCATGACCCGGTTCCTGCTCACAGAGTTTACACGTGGAGTGGTCAGGAATGGGAGAGTTGTAGCCCAACCTGTCCTCTTACAAAGAACGTCAAATTTCGATCGTATGCGTTACATAAAACCAAAAATTGTACTTGAAAATGGAAGCGGCTCGCGAAAGCGACGTTCTGTTCCGTTTCATATTTTGGATCCTCTGATAGGTTAGGAGAGGACACTTTAAATTGACCGTTTTCTTGACATAGAGAAATCACATTCAAGTTCAAGTTCAAGTATGTTTATTGAGACAAGAAAAAATACATCTCAAAGGGATAGAGTAGCTTAGGCTATTTCTACCCCCCATAGAAATCACATTCACTCCAAAAAATCTACCACTTACGGGCTATTCTTAATCTTCATCAATCAATCAATCAACGTTGGGACACCTTAGGAGGACGGGCTGTGTTTGTCCTGTCACAGGTCGCTCAGCAGCCCTGGCCACGCGGGGCAGCAGCACCTCTTGCACACCCCGGCTCCAGCTTCACCTCGCGGATTACTGACCTACTGTAATTTATTGAGAATATACATATTGTTGTTGTTAACAACATGCATTTCATTATCCTCTTAACTTTACTGCTACATGAAGTCTTACGGCAGATTTGATTAAGACTAAGCCACACATGGGTATTATAGTGTGACTTACGTAATTACACGTAATTACAATTTATATGTAGTATTGCAATTTGCACAGCTAATGCCTGAGTGCTGCTTGAACTCTCCAGGTATTCAGAGGGTTCGGCACTTAACAAAACCAATTCACGAAGCATTAATTTCTCCAGAAACCCAAAGACAATACTCTGGTTCGTTTGAGTAATAAATTGTGAATCAGCTTGTTTACGGCACGCCTAGACTAAGAGTTCTATACCCAGATTAATTATGCAGTTCTCTAGGTGGGCGACAGGGGGGGGAAGAGGAGGAGACGAATGACGGCCAAGGGGAGGGGAGAAGGAAGGAGGGGAGAGGGAGAAGGAAAGGAGGGGAGAAGGGGAGGGAAAAGAGGGGAGAAGGGAGAACCAATGATCTGAGCCCCAGATCATTACACCAGATTAATTATGCAGTTCTCTAGGTGTTTACTGATACACTCTGGGATTATTTTGTTTAGCAGTGTCAGGGGGCAGATAGCTGTTGCGTTTATCCAGGTTCCTCCTCGGCCGAACGACTGCCCAGAGGACAAAATGTGCATTAGCAACGTCAATTCAGCGTTATCACCCTTGGTTCAGCGTTGAACTAACGTTACTCTTGCATATTTTGCCCACTGGGTAGCCTTTCCTAGGATTCAGAATCTTAAACTTTATTTGTGATTACTTATGTGAGAGGTATAAAGCAGTCTATATCACTTACATTTTTGGCATAAATTGAGTAACGTTTAGTTTATAATTTGAAAGGTGAATATATATATTAAAACAAAGTGTAGTTTACCATTAGGGCAGTAAAACATATATTGATACTATATATATTATCAGAAGATGCCTCAGGAATCCCTAGAGAATTTAGTTGAATCCCAGGTTAGGTTACATTACTTTTTGTAACATATTGTAGCCTAGTGGTTTTTTATTATTATTATTTTTTATAGCCTAGTGGTTTAAGGCGTGTGCTCGGGAGGACCAAATGTGCAAGGTTCAAATCTTTCTCATGGCTCCAACAAATTTTATAATTGATACATCACGTTAATGTGATGTATCAATCACGTTAAATTTGTCCGTTGGATTCACTATTATCGACACTGAACGGAAACCCCTTAACTAGTTTATTAGTATCTCTGTTTGTGCCAAAGTCGTACAGACGGCTTTTTGCTTTTGTCCGTACCGAGTAGTACGGATGCGTTTTCAAAGATTATTAGTTTTATTGAAGAGTTAACTAAGATGAGCATATGTGGGCTTTAGGGTGCTAATGTTATGCAAATAAAGTTCTTATTTTTTATTGAAGTAAATTTCTTCAAATAAATGTTGTTTATAGATTCAATAATTAACTTTATATAGTTTTCAAGCTGCTTAGTTTTGGAATATACACAGATCAATTATTCATTTGTTCTTGAATACGACTTCTCTTTTCGTTTCAAATTGTGTACAGCATCAGAAAATGTTTGAAATTGCATCTTGACAGTGTGAAGAATCCCAACACATATTGGGGAACAAACAAGATCGTATCATCTTAATCTCTCGTGGCTCAGATGCAACTTCCGCCTCTGAGAGCATAAACAAAGTTTTATCACGATGCATATCTCCTCACCATAGATATCTGTCAAGGGAAGGAGGGAGAGAGAGAAAGAGACAGAGGAAGGGAGGGAGACGGAGATGGAGGCAAATGCGGAGGAGAGATAGAGATGCGGAGAAAGGTGACAGGTAAAGAGAGGGAGATGTAAAGATGTTGGGTCGGAGAAAGACTGATAAAGAAGGGTGTCAAGAAGAAAAAAGGCATACAGAGGGATACAGGATAGGAAAGGGAAGGAAAACGAGAAAATAAGAAAGAGGAAGGGAGATGGCGCCTGAGGAAGACAGCAAGAGGGAGGGACAATGAAAAACAGAGCGGAGGAACCGGAAGCGGGAGTATATACATTTTAATTTATTTGAACATTTATTCCAAAACTAGAGCGGCACATGTAAGCATGTGTTAGGAGGCAGTGATCGCTGAGGCGCGGCTGGGGAAGCTGCCACCAGATGTCCCGTCCTTCATGCTCATTGTTTACTGGTGAGATATACGACTCGCCTGTGCTAGTTGGTCTGTTGGGTTTGTACTGGATCTACTTGCCTATCTGTACTTGCTGGGAGTGAGTTCCAGCTCCTGAGCCCCCGCATCTGAACCATTAAACAACCAGCGTGACGTCGCTCCAGGGGGTTGGTGTATTAGTATTTTATTTCGATAATTAACACTAAACGGATAGTCCCCGTGGCGCTGCGGTAAGACACTTGCCCTGCGCTTCGCGAGCGCTTTGGCCTGGGTTCGTATCCTGGCTCTGGAAGATTGTCCGGGCGCTAATCCTTAACTGTAGCCTCTGTTCACCCAGCAGTGAATGGGTACCAGGTTGTTAAACAATTTGGCGGGTCGTATCCCGGGGAAAATTAGGATTAAGGACCTGCCCGAAACACTATGCGTGCTGGTGGCTGTACAAGAATGTAAGAACTCTTGTAAATATGTATAAAAACTATATTTCTTGTAAATGCTTTAATGTATAAATCTTGAATACATTTTAATTATATTTTAGTAGTGAATCAGTCTGAACACGAAATATGCGGTTTGTAACGGTCGACGAAAGTCAAGGCAATTGTAGATGTAAATATTAAAATTTCTTCAGGAACTGATAAGTATGTACATTAAGATGCTTTATGTGCTCTCTGCATCGCTGATTCCCTCGCTCTCGTGTACCTGTGTAATTATCCTCCACAACTCTTTTCATGCAAACATTACAGCAGTTTAAGAATGTGTAATAATTTTGTTACAGAGATGAAGGTAATTCTGGTGGTGTTGTTGCTGACACAACTTGAGCTCTTCGTAAGGTGTGGCTCGAGGGAGTTAGGTAAGTGAAGGGTGATGTGACCCACGCCACACTGTACCGCCACCATGTGTTTGTGTAAGGTGTAGTGCACCGTTCTCCTCCTGTAATATCAGGTGCTGCCAAAACTCTCCTCTCACTCTTCGCTATCATTACTTGGTTCACTCCAGTGGCTACAGCATCGATGCTTGCTTCAGTCCACTGCATACAGCATAGTGCCCTTCATTGTCAACAACATTGTTGGTCCAGTTATCCAGCCTGCTCTCGCCACCGTTCCCAACCTCAAGAAACTCCCGTACTAAAGTACCTTAAACTTACCAGAGGACCCACGAATAGAAAACGAGACATTAGGTCAATTTCGCGAGTTGCTACCATTTTTAAGGACGACAGTTTTTGGCCTTAGGTTGAGTATACGTCAAAATAAGACGTACTGTTAGGAGGACGGCTTGGTATATCAGTGAAGCGCCAAGTCCACTCCACCATCCCTCGTATATCTGGATCTTAACACATGTTAATCCAGTTGCTCGGCTAAAACAAACGATAGACGTGTACATTCTTCAAATTCATTTCCTTCATTCCTTACAACGTTTGAACTCAGTTTTTTTGCATGCGTGCTTGCTTGTATCAATGGCCACCAGCTCTCTACACAAGCGCTGCAACACAAATACGCGAACGACGACACAAGCACACGGACAGCAACAAGCACACGGGCTGTAATATAAGCAGGAGCAGCAACCCAAGCACACGGATCGCAATATAAGTCCACGGCCAACAAAAACACAGACCGCAAAGCAAGCTCAAGGAATCACTCACGCGTTTCACGAGTGATTATTTGTGTCACTGCTGCTGCCATTTCCGTTTCTCATTTTCTCTTATACAGCATAATTTTGACAGAAAAGTAGTAGTAGTAGTAGTAGTAGTAGTAGTAGTAGTAGTAGTAGTAGTAGTAGTAGTAGTAGTAGTAGTAGTAGTAGTAGTAGTAGTAGTAGTAGTAGTAGTAGTAGTAGTAGTAGTAGTAATAATAATAATAATAATAATAATAATAATAATAATAATAATAATAATAATAATAATAATAATAATAATAATAATAAAAATAATAATAATAATAATAATACTAATAATACTGATGAAAAAATCAACTGGAAAAAGGAGGCTACTCGAACCACCGATCAAGGAACTCCCAATCCTGCACCTTACCTCCTGTTTTATGAATTGGTAAAGTTAAACAACCTCAGTTACGGGCTATTCATGCCCGTGCCCCGTTTTGGGTGGCTTAATCTTTATCAATCAACAACCTCAGATTCCACTGAAGCCATTCCTTTCTCCCGTCCCATCTCAAATCCTTATCCTGATCCCTTCCAAGTGCTATATAGTCGTAATGACTTGGCGCTTCCCCTGATAATTCCCTTCTCCCCCCCCCTCCCCTCCCCTTCCAAGAACTCTTGTGTACGTAAAGTAGTTCATTAACCGTATATCAAATTGTCATAATCGGAGTGTCAAAGTTTAATAATTGTATTTTAAAAATGTTCATTATCACAATGTTAAATTATCAAAATAATATGAAAACTAAGACACATGAAATTAAACAATATGAACGGAGACGAGAGAAGGAAGAGGCGCTGATAACTGAGTGGTCTACAGGTTGCCGGGAGGTGGAACTGATGGAACAAATGCCCCTCAACCTCTCTCGCTACATGAATGGGACGCACGAGGTCCTGGACATCGAGCTTGGCGTCCGTCCTCGGGCTAATAATTCAATTTGGAACCTCAATTTTACCTTCAACAGAGAAGACGACCAGATAGCCTTCGTCCGCATCTACCACAGAACAGAGAATGTTGGCGAAAACAACACTTTGGAAATACAGTGTTTCAACAATACCCCTGCGAGAACAATCATCTCCTGGAGCGACGGCCATTCCTTTGGAATATCTCGGTTCTTCAAGCTTCAGGTATGTCTCGGCGGACATAAGTCTGCCTTGTCTCTTGCATCACTTAGGAATGATGCTGGTCTTTATGAGATTCTCGATTCTTGTTACACGGATACATCAAGGTGGCAGCAAGGAGTCTTCTCTCTCTTTCTTGAGAGTTTATCACTTCTTCTCTTCAAATACACAGTTTTCTTACCTAGGCAAGCGCAGATAAAAACAGAAACAGTTTTGAACCTTTCATGTTACAAAAACACTGTAGATGACTGCAAACTCGAGCCCTCAAAATGTCGATGTGGCTTTATTGACACTAACACGCTTATTCAAATTCAAATGTTTATTCAGGTAAAGTACATACATACAATGTGTGATACAAACATTGATGGATTTATAGATATAGCTAGTACATACAATGCCTAAAGCCACTATTACGCAAAGCGTTTCGGGCATGAAAAACACTAAGACTAAAACTTAATTCTAATTGAGATTAAAGTATAAATTGTGTTGAGATAACATAAAATTAAAAAAATGGGGGAACATGACAGAAAAATAGCAAATATACAATTTGGTCGACAAACAGCATTGTTTAAAATAACAGACATGGGTTGACATTATAGGGGGAAGGTAGGTTACAGGGAGTTAATTAGGTGGTACTTAGTTTTTATCTTCAACTGGTTGAGAGAGACGTAGTCTTTAACATGACTGGGAAGGTCATTCCACATTCTGAGTCCCTTGATTTGTAGTGCATTTCTAGTTTGATTAAGTAGTACTCTTGGAATATCAAATAGGTATTTGTTTCTGGTGTGGTGCTCATGGCTTCTGTTACAACCTTCTAGGAAGCTTTTAAGGTCAGGATTGACATTACATTACTTAGCCTATGATAAGCTAACATAGCTCAGACTATGATAATTTCTGAATTCATCATTGTATAAATGCCAAACAAAGCCAATGTATTGACACCCATTATTTAGATATTCAACTAGAAATACAAACTTAATCATCCTACTTCAAATTAAATTAGTTATGACAGTTCCAGAAATTTGTTTCAGATCACGTCAAATCAACAACTTCTGGTCCACGATACAACTGGAGATCAAGTGGAAAAATTGTTATCAGAATTTTGTGAAGTTGATCTTGGCGCCATCAACCTGACAGTTGAGAGTACCCCGCCTGGTCAACTCATACTCATCCTATCCTGCGTCAGTGGTGAGTGTTGTCGAGCACCTCACACTCATTCTGTCCTTTTCTACTAGTTAATGTCACCGCCACGCCCACTCAACCTGCCGTTATTATGGTAAGTGTTACTCACATATTCAGTCTGTTCCATAACAGTTAGGGTTACTGGCTGTCCATACACTCAACTTATCCTTATTCTGTTTTATTATTAATTATTATTACTATTATTAATTATTACTAATCATTATTATTATTATTATTATTATTATTATTATTATTATTATATGGCCTACTACTATCTGTATATTTCCGGAAATGTATTAAATTCATACCTCAATATACTCGGGGTTTTAATGTATGTCAGCTTAGCCTTGTTATGTGCAATTTCTTTCATCGAGAGGTATTCCCACAGACAATTTTCTTTGATGTTTTTATGTATCACACGTTGATCTCCTACAGATGTTTCCAGCATCTGCAAGAGCTGGAAGTGTATTATAACCACCGCATCCTTGGTGAGTGTGCTGCTGGTATCGGCGGGTGTGGTGTGGATAGTAAGCAGGAGGAGGATCGCCAAGATACTGAGTCACAAAAGGCTGACCATGGCTGAGTATTCTCACGAAGAAACAGGCCAAAACGCGCCCCTGCAGGAGGAACCGCAGCCTCCCAAGCCCCAACAGAGGAAGCCAGTGCCCTCCCCGCGCACTGTCTTCCTACACAGACGTGAACGAGCTGCGGATGCCCTCTCCACCTCATCCATCTCATCTAAATTTTCTTTTGGCAGTACCACCACCATGCCCAGCTCAGTGGTCCTGCCAGCTACGGTCCCATCCGTGCCTACCAGCCCATCGTTCTCCGTCGGGAGCGTTGGCACACTGCCTGAATTTTCCCTGAACTCACCGAACCTCGACACGCACGAGGTCACGACGGGCACCCACAGCTGCCAGGTTTCCCCAGTGCCCCAACCGGACACTCCCCCTGCTGAAGCAGCAACCCTCAGGCACGCCTCAACACTGCAACAGCAGCACACGGGAGACAGCGAGGAACATGTTTACGAGCGAGCAACCTATCTTTTCGACATCTAGACGCTCTTTGGAGCATCATCAGGCTAAACATCTGTCGAAACTTTGACACCATAGGTCAACACCGTAACACAGACGTCACCCAAAAAACGACTGCATTCGTAAAGGCTTATCACGATGCGCGTTCAACCACCTGCACTGAGGTCGTTCGAACAGCTGTTCTATTTAAACAATAGAGCTGCTCCATTTAAACAATAAAGGTCAAACAGCCCGTCCTCCTAAGGTTTCCCAACGGCAAGAAACTGTCCTACGAAAACACCAATTCCTACTCTACCAGAGGACCCAAAACAGAAAACGGGAAAGTATGTAAATTTCCCGAGCTACTACCAATTTCTAGTACAATTTTTGGCCTTAGGCAGAGTATACGTCAAAATGCGATATTCTATTAGGACAGGTTGAACCATTGGGATCACACCCGGCTTACAGAGCCCGTTCCCCGAGATTGTCCACCAGGCTGCGCTGGAGAAACGTGCATACTTATACATATTACAATATATTCAGAAACACATTTGAGATTTACATATTATGGAACTGTTAACAAACGTTAACCTCAAGTATCATCTAACAATATATATATATATATATATATATATATATATATATATATATATATATATATATATATATATATATATATATATATATATATATATATATATATATATATATATATATATATATATATATATATATATATATATATATATATATATATATATATATATATATATATATATATATATATATATATATATATATATATATATATATATATATATATATAGTTAGGTTAGGATGTTTTACCTAAGGTTAGGCTGTGTCAGGGTAGGTTAATTTAGGTTAAGCTTGGTTAAGTTGGATAAGGTCAGGTAAATTTTACAATCTGTAAGCGAACCGTTTGGTGTACGAAGTGACTTGTATCAAATATCCCTTTCCTACCTCCAGGCAAAACTGAGAAAATATAGTTAATGTAAGGATAAAATGATCAAACGTTACTCGATCGCATGTTTTACCCGCCGGGGAAAACATGAAATCTGTAATAAAATTTGGATTTTTTTTATGGTGGAATTGGAAATTATTGTTGGCAGAACTGGATTTTTTTTTAGTTGGTGGATTTGGAAATTTTTGTTAGCGGATTTGGATTTTTTGTTGCCGGATTTGGATTTTTTGTTGGCGGATTTAGATTCAAAGATTAGTCCCCGAGCTGAAAAGTATGAACTACGACGAAAGACTACTGGAATTAAACCTCATAAAACTGAAAGACAGAAGAGTTAGGGAAGACAGGATCACCATCTACAAAATTCTCAGAGGAATTGACAGTGTGGACAAAGACAAACTATTTAGCATGGGTGGAACACGAACTCAAGGGGACAAAGGTGGAAACTTAGTACTCAAACGAGCCACAGAGAGAGTAGAAAAAATTGGTTCAGTGTCAGGGTAATTAACAAATAAAATGCATTAGGCAATGATGTGGTGGAGGCAGACTCTTACCATAATTTCAAATGTAGATATGATAAGAGCCCAGTAGGTTCAGGAACATGTACATCAGTTGATTGACAGTTGAGAGGCGGGACCAAAAAGCCGAAGCTCAACCCCTGTAAGCACAACTAAGTGAGTACACACACGTACATCTTCAGAAATATGCTGTGGGCCAATGGGAAAGTATAGGCAGAAAACCGTGACGTAAATAAATGCTAAATAAATGTAATTACCTAACTGGAGGCTTTATGATCAAATAATTAAGTTACATTGCCTACTACTACTACTAATTAGTTACAGCCTGCAATTATAACATGTCATAATATTCACAGATAATGCACTCCTTATAATAATAGTCAAATTGGATAATCAACTAAGGGGAAATTACACGGCAAAAGGAGAGGAAGCAGCACACCAACCTGTTGTTAGGAGTCACAGCTGATCTGCCGGCGATGAGTCAAGCGAGAATAATGTAAACACGGAACCAGTCAAATGAGAATATAAAATACAAATGAGAGTACAATAATGAACGTAGAATTACATAAATACAATAACTAAGCCTTAACAATACAATAACAATAATATAAATACAATATTTTACTGCAAAGTGCTAAGCCAGTATGACTACATAGCACATGGATGGGACAGGAGGAATATAGGATAGGTTCATGGAGAAGGAACGCTGATCAACCACTTGGATCATCGTGGTTCGAACGCTGACCAGAGAGAAACGAGGTTGCTGTTGTACCGACCAGTCTAAGTGGCTGGACCATGCAGTCGAGGTTTGCTCTCAAAATCTTCTGGGCCCCAGATCTGGGTTCTTAAATGCCTTCCTGAATCCCGACGTAACCGCCACGACAAACAAAAACTTTCCTAAGTACTTGCGTAACTGCTTCGTGAATCTGGCCTCTGGGCCCCAGAAGGCAGAATATTTATAATCTTGAAAGTAAGATGCAAGAGGCTGTTATCTTGGGGAATGAGCTGAGGAGAATAAGACCAGGAGATTGATTCATTCATTCATTTATTATGCACTGCGTAGCCATCTCGTGGGCGGTGGTAGAAAGGTTTACAGAGGCACATAATGGTTCATTTAGCTAATTAAATGGCAATCTTGTGAAGTTCAACAATTGCTAATATTATCCCATATATAATAAATTTTTGTAATGGAACAACTTTTTTTGTGTTGGGGCAGCGATAGTGTCACATGTTGACATGAACTGACACAACGGAATTGGCCTTTTGTCACCTCAAAATAATTCTCATTGGGAATAAGGCACCAAAAGTAATTGTTTTTTTTAAATTAATTGCTTTCTTTACATTTATTATGTTAAGAAAATATTTGTTTGCACAGTACTAGTAATCTCAGTTGAAGCCTCATAAGAGAAAAACTTTACTGTTATGTATTAAAACTGTAAAGAATTTGTATATATACAAAATATCAGTAAATGAATCAAAGCTTTCCTTGTAAATGGAGTAATAATTATTCCAAAACGGCTTTCCAATAGATAGTGCTCAAAAAATATCATAATTATTATTCAGAATTAAAGCCTAGTTTTGAATGTCCTTTGGTATAGCTAACATCATTTCCAAAACGTCGCCTCTGTAAACAATTTTCAGTTCAGGTTTGCACAACATTTCAATGAACTGCATCTCTGAAACAGTTATAGGTATTGGTCCATATGCGAGAAGAAACTGCCCTTTTATTTCACTGGTGTTTATGTTTACATTCCTAAGAAGACATTCTGCCTTGATACCCTTTGCTTTAAGGCCTTGGACGAACTGAAGGACATTTTCAGCTGAAGCTCCATACAAGGCTATGTTCCTGTATCTACTACTGATGCGCCGGAGGAGGTTTACAAATGGCTCTAAATGAACGTCTCCAGTGATTAGGTGTACGTCTAAGTTAATGTTTCCTCTTGCTGAAATATCTAGCGGTGAGTTAATATCTGTCATTGTAATGTATAGGGCAAGATCTTCCAACTCTCCAGCTGATGAACTAAGAGCTAAAAGTATCTCTAGTGCTATTTTAGTTGGAACAATTAAGTTTAATGATCTTAAATGCGGCATTTGAAATAAAAGCACACATCCATCAGGACTGAGTTTTCCTACAACGCTATGTACAACGCATTTTGTTGAATCACAAAGTATTCGTAAATAATCATCGCATGTTTTATCTGTTGCTATATTACTAAAATAATACTGAAAACGTAATATAACCCATATAAAATGTTCTGCAATCTGTTTCAATAAGGGTTTTAAATCTACTAATTTGTCTGGATCTTCATGAATCACAATTAGAATCGTAGAGGGAGTTTTGTACTGTAGTAACTTCAAGGTCGCCTTGACACTTGCGTCAGTGACACCCCACAAGTCTGGCATGTAATTACTAACCTCCTTGACGACAGTGTCAGTGCATGAAGCATAATGCACCACATCAAGCCAACTACAGTTTTGACAATGACTCAGAATTTTGATCAAAACTTTTGTTCTGTCATTGTTCAATTTTCCTTGTGTAATCAAACTTGAAACAGTGTGTAGCAGTACTTCATAAAAACGATCTATTTGCCCTGTTTGAGCTAGATCGACGTTGAACAGTTCAGCAAACTTGCTTTCATCAAATGTTTCATGTGACAACAACGCACAAATGTGTTGTGCAGCGAAGTAATATTGTTGAGTGTTGTGTACAAACTTGTACTGACTTCCTCCCTCTGTGAGACTTAGGAACGTTGACAAACAGTCCGTGTATGAAGGCAGAAGACATCGACCTTCACCTTTCAGTAATTTTTCATCGTCTTTCTCAATTATAATAAATCTGCTTTTAGTTGTCATATCAAAAGCAACTTTGTACAATATTTTGAGCCAATCCTGAACTCGTTCCAAGAGTTCCTCTTCAAGTAGGCTGCTTTTGAGTTTTAGTTTTTCCATTACATTTTTGACATGGACATCTTGTATCGCACTGTACAGGTCAGACAGAGTAGTTCCTAACTCAATCTTGCTTTTATCTATCCAAAATTTAACAGCAAGTATTAACTTAAGTGGGTTACTGAGCTCCATTTGAACTTCTGAACTTTGTTGTTTCAAGTATATTTTAAATTGTTCATATTCGTTTGTACACTCTGATGCATTGCTATTCTTTTTTTGTATTAATTCTTTCAGAAGAGCGTTCCTTCCGTCACTACTAAGGCCACTAAGTGTTACTTCACAAATATTTTTACCTTTAGGAATGATGTTGGTTAACGCAAGAGTATATTCCGGTCGAGATGTCACAATGAAGGTCTGCTCTGGCCCTGCCAAGCTGAAGAGACGAGTTAATAATCCTTTAGCATCAGCTGAGGCATCTTCAAATCCATCTATAATCCACAGGATCCTTAAAGAGTTAAGAATGCCCATTACTTCAGTAGCCTCACAGCACTGGATAGTCTGAGGCAGTAAATTATCCTGCAGAAGTCGCACCAGGTCGCGAGTGAACACATCATGACACTGGATTAACACCACCAGGTCACACCCAGCAAGGTCATCAATCCTGTTGTCATTCTTCAACCACGAGTCCATTACTTGTCTGGAAAAAAATATTCAGTTACTGTATCATAACTGCCTAGCTAGATACATAAAATATTACATTCATAACGGAATGTGGCATTGGAAACTTAAAGTGTAAACAATACTTTTTATAGATAGCTGTGTCAGTCACATGTACTCAGGTGCTCCTATACCAGCCTCATGTACCTGGGTGTACCTGTGTCGGCTTCATGTATCTGGGTGTACCTTGTCAACCTCATGTGCCCAAATATTATAATGGATATAATGACTGAATGACAGGAATATAAATATATATGTGACACATAAATTAATTAATCACATTATGGTACGAGAAAACAAATTCAACCTAAATGCGCAAATGTCTGTACAGTTCTTGACATATTTAATACAAATAATTCACTGCTAGTTGAAGTGTTATGCATATTGTTACAAACTGTGTTCACAAGATTCATTACGTTAATGTCTTTTTCCTGTTTGACAATAAATGAATATAGATTTATACTTAAAGCATTCTGTGACTGTGTTTCATGGCCACTTACTGAGAGAGGAAGGTCTTGCCTGCACCAATGTCGCCTTGCACCACAATGATCTCTGGCACAGTGCCATCCACACACCGCCACTTGAGCAGCTGTGAGAGTGACACCTCCTCCTCTGGTGTCATGGCCGTCATGCTGATTGAGCGTTTAATTATTGGAATGACACATGAGCTGCTCGTGTCTAACGTGGTCCCTCTCAGTTCCTTGTACTCTTGTTTAGCAAACATAGCAAACTTCTGAGGAGTCATACCCGAGGCTGGCCTTGAGGTCTGAATATACTGAAGGCCGTTCTTTATGTTGTCTATGGCGGTATTTATCTCCTGTGGTGTCCGGCCAGTGCGTGGACCAGCTTCTTGTATAATATGGCAGCACAGGTCACAAAGTTCACAAACTCGAGCTTTAAGATCATCTTCAGTCATGTGTGCAAATTTCATTGATTCGTGATCTAAGTCATTTCTCAATTCCTTTATCTTATATAATGTGTGTTCTAAGCTCTGTTCCTCAGCTGGCGTAGTTGGACTGTTCCAAACAGATGATGTTGGTGGGTCCTCAGCAAGGTTGCAGGTGCGCTGGAGAAGCTTGTACAGCAGCGTGATGTCCATTTTTACCGGATTGTCTCGTCGGCCCAGAGCGGCTCTTTCCCGGGGAAAAAGACCTTTCATTCCACCGCGAGTGTTGAGCAGACAGTCCCCAACATAGAGGCGCGGGTCCTCCTGGTGGTGGTGGTGGTAAAGCCACAGAAACACTCGACACATCTCCCTCTGAGCCACAACAATAATACAATTGTTGTACCTGTCGAAGTTAATGTTTGAACGCAGAGATTGCAAGTTAGAGTTGACCATTTTGAGAAGTTTTTCAAATAAATGAACTGATGTATGTGTGATCCTTTGTGAAACGCGTTTGTTTTCTCTTCACTTGACACAATATTCACTTCAGTTTACTTATAAATATTGTAGCAAACCAAACTGTTTGCTGAACTAGATAAAGCAGTACAACACTCGCAGCCAAACTCTGTCCAGGGAAAAGATCAGGCAAACTTCAGGCTCCTTCACAACTAGCCCAACAAAATGGCGAGCAGACAAGCTTAGCAGCACCCAGCTTATCGTTATCTCGTTATGTTACCATGGAAGGCGATAAGAGTCATTTTCAATACAATTATGGTCTAATGAGTTGCTGACTTTTCCTCTCCAACATGAATCATCTACAATCATTTTAATAAGATGCTATATGGTTTACACAGATACTATATATATATGGACACAAATTATAATTAATCGCTTCTTATACAGATGGGAATCACAGGAATCTTTCTTGTATGATGGAGGCAAGCGTTATCGTTATCAGTTCACTGCTTGAAAACAAAAGTATGTAACAATTTGTTTTTTAAATTATCAGCTGGTAATTGGAAATTATTAGCTAATATTTTAAATATATAATTTTCATATTATTTCAAACATAGAAAGTCTGATTTACACTTGTGGTACATTTATGTCTCCAATAGTCTGCCTTTCTGAAACCTTAGCCTCTAAGTTTATGCCCGAAACGCTTTGCGTAATAGTGGCTTTAGGCATTGTATGTACTAGCTCTACCTATAAGTCAACCAATCTTTGTAAAAATTTATTGTATGTATGTACCTTACCTAAATAAACATTTTATTTTATTTTTTTATTTATTTTAAGTGGTAAAGGCTTAGTGTACTTTGGTACTCTGCGTTCAAGTTCAAGTATGTTTATTGAAACAAGAAAATACATCTCAAAAGGATAGAGTAGCTTAGGCTATTTCTACCCCTTTAAGGCACTGGTACCCTGCATCCATAAATTCGCGCGCATACTATCCTGGCGGGAATTTCAAACATTATGCTTCAATGTAACCGAATGCCTTACAATGTTAGTGCATACAGACGTGTGGAGCGCTGTGCTATTGAATAGAGCCATGGAACACTACACTTTAGCAAACATAATAAGACACAAAAACATGCGGTTCTTTGTTATTTGGTATAGAGCTATGGAGCACTTCGCTGTTGCATAGTCATGGAGCACTGTGCTATTGCATATAGAGCCCTGTAGTAGTGCGCTGTTTCAGAGCGAGTGAACACTGTACTGTGTTGTATTAAAGAATTTACAAATTTGGACACGTTTGGTGTAATGTTCAATTCTTAAATCGCTTTTTATTAGTATGCAAAATTGGTATGCCCAATTTCTAGATTACAAATTAATGCAAGGAAAATAGAGAATTGAGAGGTTATTTAATATTCCTCAATTTTTATAAAAATATAATTTATTGATACAATCTAAATGTAAAAATTGTCAATGCTATTGATACCTACAGCGTAATAATTAACATTATTAATACTTGACAGTATCACGAGAATCCTAAAAAAAATCATAAAGAAATCACAGTAATCATTTTCAGAGAATATTATGTTTACAAAAAAACAGTAGGCAATATTCAGTGTCAAATGAGAATGCTCATTCATAAAAATAGAATTACCATGTTTAAATACTGGTTTATTCACACCTAGTAAATATGCACTGTTTATGAAGCCTTAAAGACAAATTATATATTCATGCTAAGCCCAGAGGGAGTAAATAAGTCTGACCAGAGGCTCAGGGCTGGACCATCTGCCACTAGCCTAAACACAGCATTAATCTAAACTCATCATTCAATATGAATCAGTCCAAATTTTTTAATATATTTAATAAACACCTCCCAGGCCTTTCGTCACTAAAATAATTTCAGTCATACAGTTCAAATAAGATGAACAAGACATGAACGTAACATTCACATGTAAGGTTCTGGTAGCACGTTGTAAACTAGGGGAGAGGAGTAGCACAGATTTGGGGGGAGGAGTAGCACAGATTTGGGGGGAGGGGTAGCACAGATTTGGGGGGAGGGGTAGCACAGATTTGGGGGGAGGGGTAGCACAGATTTGGGGGGAGGGGTAGGACAGATTTGGGGGGGGGGTTGAAAACAAATGTTACGTAGGAAAGGAGGGGAGGGGGGAAGCACAAGCAGGCTCACCAATTCGCATTTATAAAAGCAAATTAATTATTACATTAATTGTTTATTGTTATAGAAAAAGCAATTAATATCAATACTCCATAGGCTCTAATAGAATACAAAAAGGTAAATATTATAAGAGATTCAGATTATAAATTGATTGCGATCTGCGCAAATTGCGCTCTGAGGCTCTTTAACCCTTCATATTACTTCTCTATTGAAAGTTGGCAACTGTGTGTCTTAACACGCGTAAACATTAACATAATTATGAAAGAGCTTTTAAACTCTTAACAGAACATGTGCTGTATCGCTCTCAATATAGCGACCTCAGTCATGACACATTATATATATAGTGAAAGATATACTATATGGAGCAGCAAATATTTCGCACATAATTAGCTTTCCTGAGTGATTCAGAAAGGCTCTTCAGGTTTCAAAGAAGTTTTTTTTATATAATCTGAAAACGGACATCAAAGTCTGTCACACACTCACATCCTATATTAAGACACACAGTTGCCAATCTTCAATAGAGAACTAATATGGATATGGATATGTATATATATATATATATATATATATATATATATATATATATATATATATATATATATATATATATATATATATATATATATATATATATATGTATATATATATAATATATATATATATCTAGGCTCATTGAAACAACAAGGGACCCGAGAGCTGCAAGCTTTCTTTTCCAGCGCCTCAGTGTGGCGATACAGAGGGGAAATGCGCACTGCATCCAGGGTTCCTGCCCGCCATCTGAGGAGCTGGAGGAACTCGACAACCTATGACAACCATCTTTGTAACCCATATGTAACTCCTTTTTTGTAACAAAGTTCAAATAAAGTAAATATATATGTGTACATACAAAAGAATGGGGGTGGTAGGAGAAGATAATATTGGTGTTCAGTGAGAAACCACAAGGTCTCCTCTGAATACTTTTTATTTTCTTCTCCGAGGCTATGGGTCCCCACATTGGCACCAGAGGAGTATATATATATATATATATATATATATATATATATATATATATATATATATACATTTATAAAACACGTGGAATTCAACACATTATTATTACAATTGGTATCCGGAGTATTGGGATATCCGGATATTTTCCATTCTGCGTAAATACCTTCACTATCTACTTGGTGAAGAAACACTAAATCACTTAAAGTCTTTCCATTTTGTTTTGAGGTTTCGTCAACACGAAAGATATACAAATGACATACAGGACACAAGTGTGCTAAGATTTCATGCAAAAATATATACATATATAAACATGGGTTAACCTCGCTCTCTACGATTAAGTAGCATTTAATCGTAGAGAGCGGCGAAGTATTCGGACAGGTGATTGCAGTCTAACTTCAATTAATAGTTGTCTAGCGAGATTAGTATCTTCCCTCTGGGTTAAAGAACCATTAAACACTTGGATGTTTGATGTTAAATTCGTCCGAGTGTTAATTATTGGGCCCAGTTCAGGAATAAATATAATGTCACTTGACCCCAAAATGCAAGAAGAAACAATGTTTGTATATAAATGTTATACTGTGCAGTACAATGTAAACAAACTCATGTTTCACTTAATTAAATTTGTTGATTAAATTCAAAGGTACAACCTAATATCATATATCCATTGGTACAGTCATTGTCACAGATAAGACATTGCCACTAATAATAAGGTTCACCTCCGGTTTACGCCACATATATAAAAACTGCATCTCAGAAACAGTTGAAGGTATTGGTCCATAAGGGAGAATAAATCTGCCCTTTATTTCACTGGTGTCTATGTTTACAATCCTTTGAAGACATTCTGCCTTGACACCTTTTGCTTTAAGGCCCTGGACGAAATGAAGCGCATTTTCAGCTGAAGCTCCATGTAAGCCTATGTTCCTGTATCTATTACTTATGCGGCGGAGAAAGTTTACAACCGGCTCTAAATTGGTGTCTACAGCGTTTGAGAGGTATACGTCCAGAACGATGTCTCCTCTTGCTGAAACACCAATCAGCGAGTTAAAATTTGTCATTGTTATCATCATGACAAGTTCCTCTAGGTCCTCAGCCCAAGAACTGAGAGATAAAATTATCTCTAATATTATTTTTGTTGGAACAATTAACTTTAAGACTCTTATGTGCGGCATTTGAGATATAAGAGAACACCCAACAGTACTGAGTTTTCCTGTAAAGTGAAATATGACGCACTTTGCTGATGAATCACAAAGTATTCTTATGTAATCATCGCATGTTTTATCTGATATTATATAGTTAAAATAATAACTGAAACATACGTCGATAAATACAGGAATTTCTGAAATCCGTTTTAACAAGGGTTTTAAGTCTATTAATTTGTCTGGATCTTCTCGAATCACAATTAGAATCGTAGAGGGAGTTTTGTACTGTAGTAACTTCAAGGTCGCTTTGACACTTGCGTCATTGACACCCCACAAGTCTGGCATGTAATTACTAACCTCCTTGACGACAGTGTCAGTGCATGAAGCATAATGCACCACATCAAGCCAACTACAGTTTTGACAATGACTCAGAATTTTTATCAAAACCTTTGTTGTATCATTGTTCAATTTTCCTTGTGTAATCAAACTTGAAACAGTGTGTAGCAGTACTTCATAAAAACGATCTATTTGCCCTGTTTGAGCTAGATCGACGTTGAACAGTTCAGCAAACTTGCTTTCATCAAATGTTTCATGTGACAACAACGCACAAATGTGTTGTGCAGCGAAGTAATATTGTTGAGTGTTGTGTACAAACTTGTACTGACTTCCTCCCTCTGTGAGACTTAGGAACGTTGACAAACAGTCCGCGTATGAAGGCAGAAGACATCGACCTTCACCTTTCAGTAATTTTTCATCGTCTTTCTCAATTATAATAAATCTGCTTTTAGTTGTCATATCAAAAGCAACTTTGTACAATATTTTAAGCCAATCCTGAACTCGTTCCAAGAGTTCCTCTTCAAGTAGGTTGCATTTGAGTCTGAGTTTTTCCATAATATTTTTGACATGGACATCTTGTATCGCACTGTACAGGTCAGACAGAGTAGTTCCTAACTCAATCTCGCTTTTATCTTTCCAAATTTTAACAGCGAGTATTAACTTAAGTGGGTTACTGAGCTCCATTTGAACTTCTGAACTTTGTTGTTTCAAGTATATTTTAAATTGTTCATATTCGTTTGTACACTCTGATGCATTGCTAATCTTTTTCTGTATTAATTCTTTCAGAAGAGCGTTCCTTCCGCCACTACTAAGGCCACTAAGTGTTACTTCACAAATATTTTTACCTTTGGGAATGATGTTGGTTAACGCAAGAGTATATTCCGGTCGAGATGTCACAATGAAGGTCTGCTCTGGCCCTGCCAAGCTGAAGAGACGAGTTAATAATCCTTTAGCATCAGCTGAGGCATCTTCAAATCCATCTATAATCCACAGGATCCTTAAAGAGTTAAGAATGCCCATTACTTCAGTAGCCTCACAGCACTGGATAGTCTGAGGCAGTAAATTATCCTGCAGAAGTCGCACCAGGTCGCGAGTGAACACATCATGACACTGGATTAGCACCACCAGGTCACACCCAGCAAGGTCATCAATCCTGTTGTCATTCTTCAACCACGAGTCCATTACTTGTCTGGAAAAAAATATTCAGTTACTGTATCATAACTATCTAGCTAGATATATAAAATATTACATTCATAACGGAATGTGGCGTTGGAAACTTAAAAGTGTAAACAATACTTTTTATAGATAGCTGTGTCAGTCACATGTACTCAGGTGCTCCTATACCAGCCTCATGTACCTGGGTGTACCTGTGTCGGCTTCATGTATCTGGGTGTACCTTGTCAACCTCATGTGCCCAAATATTATAATGGATATAATGACTGAATGACAGGAATATAAATATATATGTGACACATAAATTAATTAATCACATTATGGTACGAGAAAACAAATTCAACCTAAATGCGCAAATGTCTGTACAGTTCTTGACATATTTAATACAAATAATTCACTGCTAGTTGAAGTGTTATGCATATTGTTACAAACTGTGTTCACAAGATTCATTACGTTAATGTCTTTTTCCTGTTTGACAATAAATGAATATAGATTTATACTTAAAGCATTCTGTGACTGTGTTTCATGGCCACTTACTGAGAGAGGAAGGTCTTGCCTGCACCAATGTCGCCTTGCACCACAATGATCTCTGGCACAGTGCCATCCACACACCGCCACTTGAGCAGCTGTGAGAGTGACACCTCCTCCTCTGGTGTCATGGCCGTCATGCTGATTGAGCGTTTAATTATTGGAATGACACATGAGCTGCTCGTGTCTAACGTGGTCCCTCTCAGTTCCTTGTACTCTTGTTTAGCAAACATAGCAAACTTCTGAGGAGTCATACCCGAGGCTGGCCTTGAGGTCTGAATATACTGAAGGCCGTTCTTTATGTTGTCTATGGCGGTATTTATCTCCTGTGGTGTCCGGCCAGTGCGTGGACCAGCTTCTTGTATAATATGGCAGCACAGGTCACAAAGTTCACAAACTCGAGCTTTAAGATCATCTTCAGTCATGTGTGCCAATTTCATTGGTTCGTGAACTAATTCATTTCTCAATTCCTTTATCTTATATAATGTGTGTTCTAAGCTCTGTTCCTCAGCTGGCGTAGTTGGACTGTTCCAAACAGATGATGTTGGTGGGTCCTCAGCAAGATTGCAGGTGCGCTGGAGAAGCTTGTACAGCAGCGTGATGTCCATTTTTACTGGATTGTCCCGACGGCCCAGAGAGGCTCTTTCCCGGGTAGAAAGACCGTTCATTCCACCACGAGTCCTGCGTAGACAGTCCCCAACATAGAGGCGCGGGTCCTCCTGGTGGTGTTGGTGGTAAAACCACAGAAACACACGACACATCTCCCTCTGAGCCACAACAATAATACAATTGTTGTACCTGTCGAAGTAAATGTTTGAACGCAGAGACTGCAAGTCCGATGCTGCCATCCCGTTAGTTTGTAACTGTACATGTACCGAAACACGTACATGTAACTGTACATGCCCGAAACGCTGTGCGTATGAGTGGCTTTAGGTATTGTATGTACTAGCTCTATCTATAAATCCAACACTATGTTTGTAACTCATCTTCTATGTACGTACTTTTACCTGAATAAACATTTTTATTTTTTTATTTTTATGTAAATGTTATCAACGGGCGAACACTCGAGGGATTTATGGCACGTACATGTAACTGTTAACTTGACAACAATCGCATCAAGACTGGCGATTGACATGTGTACATACTACATGATCACTAGGACAGCCTTGCCCTTGGGTGTGTAGAGCTGGGTAAACTTAAGGTGGTAAGTATCGCCAATAATGGTACATCAGTACACCAATGTTCACTTCGCTCTGTTTACAACACGTAAAATCCTCTGGGTATACTCACTATTTCAAGTAGCAGAAAAATTCAATACAATCATATCACAAACCTTCTCGTATAATGTATTACTGTCTAGTATCCATTATAACGTCACGAAATTATATAATTATGCAAAATCCACTTTTATTTCAAAATTATAACACAAATACTGCTTATATAAACAGCATGATTTCACCAGAATGTAACGTGTATATAATGCCGGGGTAAGAGACTCAAACTGAATTTGACAATCTTAACATTCAAAACAAGTGAGAGAATAGTTAAATTATTGTTTAAAATTAATTCTGTAAACACATAGAATCATCCTTATAAGGATAGTGTCCTGTGGTGTGCCTTGACGTCCATGTATATGGCCACCTTGTCAACATAGCAACACGCACATTTGGCGGGAGTCTCGGAACCCAATGGTGCCAGACGTATGAGCATTCTCACTTAACCTCTCAAGATAGCGATGAAAATTAATTTGAATTCCACGGAAGCAAAAAATAGAAAACAAAAAGACAGTCTTAGGTACAAAATAAAAGAAAGAAAGAACCAAGAACGCTTAAACTGCTGTGGGTACTAATGGCGTTGCCTCAGGTTCGACGCCCCGCCAAACCTGAGACGTTTGGACACGTTTCCTCCCTTACCTAATTGTACTTACCTAATTGTGCTTGCGGGGGTTGAGCTCTGGCTCTTTGGTCCCGCCTCTCAACTGTCAATCAACAGTTGTACAGGTTCCATACACCTGCCATTGTGTTCACCTAGTAGTATATACACGAGGGAGCGAGGTAAGTGTTGGGTTGTGACCGTCGAATGTTTATGTGTGTGTACTCACCTAGTTGTGCTTGCGGGGGTTGAGCTCTAGCTCCTTGGTCCCGCCTCTCAACTGTCAATCAACTGGTGTACAGGTTCCTGAGCCTACTGGGCTCTATCATATCTACATTTGAAACTGTGTATGGAGTCAGCCTCCACCTCATCACTGCCTAATGTTTATGTAGGACAGACGTAAATTTGTGTATTTATGTTTGTAGGTTAGATTAGTATTTTAAAAGCACTATAATCACCTTCTGTGGTTGATTGTTCAATAAATCACTAAATTATATGTTTAACAGATCTCTAAACCTGTCCATGGAGGATAGAAGAAAATGTATATATGCTAGTTAGCATTGTAAATGTGTGGCCACGTTAGTGATAGAAATAAAAACTGCCTAATGCACTCCATCTGTTAATTACTCTGATATTGAAAAATTTCTTTCTAATGTCCCTGTGGTTCATTTGAGTACACAGTTTCCACCCGTGTTAAACAGTTTATTTTTATCTACCCTATCAGTTCCTCCGAGAATTGTGTAGGTAGTGATCATGTCTCTCCGAGCTCTCCTGTCTTCTAGCGACGTGAGGTGCATTTCACGCAGCCTTTCCTCGTAACTCATGCCTCTTAGTTCTGGGACTAGCCTAGTGGCATACCTCTGAACTTTTTCCAGCTTCGTCTTGTGCTTGACAAAGTTCGGGCTCCACGCTGGGACCGCATACTCCAGGATTGGTCTTATATATGTGGTATACAAGGTTCTGAAAGATTCCTTACACAGGTTCCTGAAGGCAATCCTGATGTTAGCCAGCCTTGCATGTGCCGCTGATGTTATTCTTTTGATGTGGACTTTAGACGACAGGTTTGGCGTGATATCAACTCCTAGATCTTCTCTCCATCCGTTTCATGAAGGACTTCATCTCCCATTCGGTATCCTGTGTCTGGCCTTCTGTTTCCCCCGCCTAGTTTCATTACTTTACATTTAATTGATTAAAGTTGACCTTGTAAGGCTTGAATTAATGCTCGTTTGGTCCCTTCACAATATTTTTACTGTTATCCTCTTTGAGCATGTTGGTGCCAGTCTCCTATATTAAACAGACCGTACCTTGCAGGCAAATTAATCTTTCCAAAGTTTGCTAGTAATGTGGCTACTAGATTTCATGCCTCTGAGTAGGCATCCCGTTCTCACACTAAATGCTGCACATTTCTATGCTAAGAAAATAAATGTGCATCTAAACATTTATTATATATATATTTTTATTAACAAGCTTAAGTATACACAGCAATGTGCTGTTACCCTATTCTATGTGAATGATTACGCAGTGTAGATCAAAAACCAGCTACAAGCTCATCCAACATTCCCACCTCACAGGACGGCCAGTCATACATGGAATCAGGAGAGAACATGAAATGTAAGGCTGATCTATTAGCCTACACTAGTAAAATCTGGGTACAGCACAAGAATATCTTCCAATATTTGTGAGTGCATTAAGTAATTACAGAGCTCTAAGTACCTCATACCATTTATGAGTCTGAAATCACTGATAACAGGGCAATCACAAATATAAGTGTTGGAGAGTATGTCCCAGCTCTTGCTCACATAGTTTACAATTGGAATGTTCACCATTGGGGGATTCATTACGTAAAGCCACCTGCCATAGATATCGATATTGCAGCCTAATTCTGGCAGTTACAATGCCACACTGTCTACTGGATGTTTTACGCTGCCCGTACATATAATTCTCGGTTCTAAACATGTCATAGCTCTTTCTACTTATGCTTTCTGGACTTTGTGTGTCATTAACTGCTCGTGTGTCTTCCCTAATTTCTTGAAATATTGCGTCTTTTACAGCAGAGATTGAATGCCAATGTCAAACTCAATTTCAGGCTTTATCACATGCAGTTTTTACTGCCTTGTCTGTGTCGTCATGCTGGACAACACCTAAATGAATGGTATCCATATAAATGAGACCGAAACTCTTGCTCTTTGCATTAATAATGTTGTATACGCATTGCAAATGTTCGATTTTTGTAATAATAATAATAAGTATAATAACAATAACAATAATATTAATAAAGATGATAATAAAATAGTATGTTTTATAATAAAAAGTTTACATTTGATGTTAATCTAATTTTATGGTATTTCCTAACATAGCCTACGTGTAGCCTATCTCGCTCTGCACCGATTACACAATGTTATTCCCCGTCTGTCCATAACATTGCTTGAAAAACACATTATCACTTTTCAGTTTTGTTTATGCGAGTTGCTGGTAAGAAGATAAGGATGATGGTGATATGCACGATAGAGCACCACGTGACGATAGGCAGGCCTGGGGACGGGGGTCGAATCTGGAGGGGCGGGAGGTGTTAGAGCACATTGCCAGTTCCCACACCAGCCAGCCAACCAGGTGCACGCGCGGCCCCAAGACGTATCCCTACACTCACGCCGCTCAGGTACTCGCCTATTTACCTATCAGTGCCTAAGAGGAAGTGCCAGGTCTAGCAGTGTATGACCCGTCTACTGTACGGATGTACTCTATAGCTGTACTTGTGTACTAGACTGAATACATGTGTTCACGATCCGTGCCTATGTGTTACCACGAGATGAAAACCACACTGAGATTTCAAAAAGTGTAGTCATGTCCCGCGAGCCTACAGGTCGTGTCCCAGGTAAGTTGAGAGTGGTGCGGCTTACCTCTCTGCTTACTTGTTAATTCATGAATTACTTCCTGTATAACTTACGTGTTGTTAGTGTGGAAAGTCTGACTGGTGCCGGAGTGTCTGTCTACGTTAATCTCGAGGCGCAATGATCTAAATATATTTCGTTGATTTACGTACTGATTCAGGTCTAATACATTAAGCGCCGTGGTAGCGACTTAGACTTAGATATTTTATAACTTAATTTTGTTTGAATTTGTATGTTTGTGTAGTAAATCCAGTTGTTGGGGACAGGAAGCCTGTATACTTAGACTTTACCAAGTCCCAGTAAGTCAACTGCGATCTTCCCCAGAAAACAATCCAAAACGTAGTTTTTTTTTATATATTTGCCGCAGAAGTCGGCTTGTTTATTGTGCACCCCATACTCATCCTGTGAGTGGTAGGTTATTGTGCAACCCATACTCATCCTGTGAGCGGTAGTTTATTGTACACCCCATACTCATTATTATTATTATTAATTATTATTATTATTATTGTTATTATTATTATTATTATTATTATTATTATTATTATTATTATTATTATTATTATTATTATTATTATTATTATTATTATTATTATTATTATCTTCATAATAACTAGTATTTTATTATAACTTACTGCATTTTCCAGAGAGTAATGAAGGGAGTCGGAGTGGTGATAATGATATGTGTGGAAACAGTGGCTCTCTCTGGCTCAACTGTCTCTATCAGTGACAACAAGAACACTGTAGCTCCCTCTGCCAGGTATGGCGGAGTTACTCACATTTTGATGAGACATCGGGAAGAACATCAAGTGAGTGAGTCAACCGTGAGTGATGATAAGTTTAGTGGTGTCAAGTTAGCGATGAATAGACACAACGGAAGTGATCATAACATAACAGAAGAGTCTCAGTTAATAGCAAGTAATCTAAATACAGGTAGTCAAAATACTAGCACGGAAAGTGTACGGTTAACGGTAAATGATAAAATAAGTGCAGAACACAGAGATTCACCAGGGAATTACTCAAAGACAAACGGGAAGGTGGCTTGGGGAGTGACAAAGGTGTCTACGATGACGGCTGAACCCTTCAGTAAGGAAACCCAAAGTACGCTGGCAGACAATGACCCAAACCATAAGCGAGCCTCAGGTGAAAATCCTCCTTTCCCCGCACCTCTTTCCGTTCCAGGATTCACATTCCCTTGGACTATTATGAACGTAACCACTAATCTTGTTTCCGGTGATTCATATGAGAGCAACAGGCACAAGAGTGAAGAAGTCGCTAGTGAGAGGAGCCATGTGCCTCCAGAGTCGCTTCCTGGACCTCCACACAGCACAGCCAGGCAGTGGAGGGAGACGGCGATAACGTGGACCAGTGAGCCTGAGGAGGAAGAATGGATGGAGAAAAAAGTTATCACCAAAGGGTACGTGACAGCACTATCTCGCCCACCATACACCCTCGACCACACGTACTTGGACTCGTCACAAGGTAACTGCTCCTATTCCTATTAAACCAAAAGGAAAATGCCCACTCTTTCGTATAGAATTTAATTAGTGTAGAACACTGTAGATCCAAATACTGGGAAAGGGATTTTTTTATATTGACTTTTTTTTTATTTCTCTAACACATACACCTGCATGAGGGTCCCCGTTGTACAGTCGGGTTCGTTCTCGACTCACAATCGAGAATTCCTGGTTCGACTCACGGGCGGGACAGAAACGGTTAGGCACATTTCCAATAATTTAATGTCCTGTTCACCAAGAAGTAAGAAGATACTCAGGAGTTACTCAGCTTGTTGTGGGGTCGCAGCCTGGGGGGGGGAGGAAAGGGGCTGGCTGCCTGTCCCCCGACACAATGAATTATTAGTAATTATTATTATTAATTACATACACCATGAAATATTATTTTTAAAAAGTCTACAGTACTTTTATAGGAAGGTTTTGTCCCTTCCCTGACAGCTGGGTTCTTCTGGTCGTGGGAGGCCATCCTCTTGGTGAGCTTGCCAGGGGCGTGGCTGGTGCTGCTGGCGGTGATGTGCTGCCTCACCCGCTCACGCATGGGCAGGAAGCTCCTGCAGTGGCTTGGGCCACCACCACCAAACGACGACGACGACCTTGAACAGGGACACGGGATCCTCTTCTTCGATGGAAGTCCTGGGATGAGGAGGAGCCTTACAGATCCTGAAGGTGCCGCGGCTGAGGAAGTGGAAGAGCAGGCGGAACGAGACGAAGAACGGGATGTAGAAAAGGCAGGAGGCGTCAAGACCAAATACACCAGAGTGGAGGTGACGGCCAAACAGGCGAACGGGTTGACACCAAGGATAGAGAGCAGTGATAACGGAGGCTCACATGACAAGCAGCTTTCTGAAATTTCTCCGTTGTCGCCACTGAAGACACTAGCCTTCTTGGAGAACTTGACGATGCAACGAAAACTGTCTCTGATCTCTGAAGAAAGTTCTCATTGACAATATTGGAACAAGCAGAATTTTGTGGCCTATTATATACAGTATAAAGTAAAAGCCATGTTGAACCTGCCTCTCAAAGTTCACTAGAGAAGGTGTGACTGGCATGTGACATATGCCAGTGACTTATGACATGCCCGCCAGGGACATATGACATGGTCCCCAGTGTCTTCATCCCTTAAAGTGAAAACTTTGGAACAGTGTTATCAAAGGGAAGGCCATGAGGATCTCACGAGAGAAATCTTAATTAATTTTTAGCATTTATATTCATAGTTAAACACTTGCAGCATATTCAGTTATCAACACCATTACTTCTTAATAACGATTAACATCACGTGTTAAATTTCGTGATTTACACACACACACACACACACACACACACACACACACACACACACATTATATATTATATTATATTATATTATATATATATATATATATATATATATATATATATATATATATATATATATATATATATATATATAATATAATATAATATAATATAATATAATATAATATAATATAATATATAAATGTATGTGTGTAAATCACGAAAATTAACACGTGATGTTAATCGTTATTAGGAAGTAATGTATTAAGTGCCTAACTTAAAAATGTGCCTAACCGTAATGTATTAAGAAGTATTATATATATATATATATATATATATATATATATATATATATATATATATATATATATATATATATATATATATATATATATATATATATATATGTGTGTGTGTGTGTGTGTATGAAATCTTTCTCTAGCTCTCTCTAGCTCAGTGATGGAGATGTGAGATTTGTCTCTAATTGAATCCCTCGAGAGGGCGGCGTGTGTTAGCATCTGGGCTTCTTAAAGACTAAGGCCCAGGAAATAATGATTTGTAAATTTAATTTTTCTTACTATTTTTGTACGTTATTGTTACGGGAAAAATAAAGATGACACATTTCCGATTCTTTTTTTGTTCCTAAGCAAGGCAGTAGTTGAAGATACGGCGACTTTGGTTACACTTTGCAAAGAGCAATACAAAGGTACAGCTGCCTTAAAGCAGACTGGCAAACAAAGGTGTTATTTTTAAACTAGACTGACTGGGAGAGAAGAGGAGATCACAGTGTTAACTGGAAGGTTGTTGTTGTTTAAGATTCAGCTACTGGGGAACAAAACGTTCCAAGTAGCACGGGCTATGGTGAGCCCGTAGTGGACATTGGAGACGAGACAGTGGCAGGGGGTTGATCCTCCTGCTGGGGGGGGGGGTGACAGGTAAGGGAAGCCAGGAGACGTGGTTATCAGGGGGCGGCGATGGTGGAGACGTCTTTCTTTATTCTTGGCTAGTTCTTCCTCAGGTGGTGAAGACTTCTGTCTGCTGCTTTGTTACAAGCGTTTTATTTGTCTCATTTTCATTATGATAGACAAGAGGATTTACTAGTTCCTGTTAGCACCGTTCTGCTTGCTTCATGTTCTGTGCTGAACGGTATCATCTGATGACACTCTTTAGGCTTCGGTTTGATAGCTCAAGATTATGTTCTGCTTCTTCCGCTTGGAAAGGTCAGACGTTGGCTTGGTGGGACCTCGATATGCTGAATAGGAATCCAAACCATGAATTAAATATACGCTACTCTAGAAAATGCCTTTCACGTTCTCTCTCGCTCCATAATAAAAGAAAATCTTTAGGATGGTATCCTAAAGCAAATATTTTTTATATTTTTTTTTTTCAAGCTTCGATACACTGCTGCTTCCCTATTTTATATGAGTACAGCGTATAGCTCAAAAGCTGCTATAGGAACTTGTAGCATAGTAGTCTACGTCCTTGGCTCACAACCGAACGAACCCCGGTAAGGCAGAAACGGTTGGGCACGTTTCATTTCACCTGATGCAGCTGTTCACCTAATAATAGTGGGCCTAGAGATACTTTGGTAAACCTAAGTACAGGCTTCCTGTCCCCGACAACAGGAATTATAAGTTCATCTAATATCCTCATCTCACTGGATACTTAGTAATACATGGGAATCAGACAAACTTGAGATGCAAGTCTGCACTAGCAAACTTAATGTGGATTAGGAGTATATCTTCTTATCTCCGTAGATGAATTAAATAATTATCTGCTGTTACTTGCCGCAAGGAACTATATATGTCAGCCTCATTCTGACAATAACAGTGTCACACTGTTTGGTGGCCATTTTGCTCTGTCCGTATTGTGACGTACAAATACAAATACAAATTTTTATTCAGGTAAAGTACATACATACAAGGTAAGATACAAAAGTTGATGGATTTATAGATAGAGCTAGTACATACAATGCTTAAAGCCACTATTACGCAAAGCGTTTAATTCGGGCAGGAAAAACGTGATCTAAAATAGAGCAGTACTAGATCCATTGGTTCCCAAACTGGGGGCCATTGTCCCATGGGGAGGGGGGCGCCATTTTGCAGTATGTAGGGGGTCATAAGTTGAGGCAGTGTACAGGTTATGATACCAGAGGATAGCAAAGAGGGACTTTTACTGACTGCAGGGGGCCATTACTAGGGACACTGAAAAAGGGATAGTGACCGTAAAGAGTTTGGGAACCACTGCACTAGTCCATTTATCTAGTAAACACGACACTAGGATTCCGAGAATCACAGTGTCACGGAAATCACAGGAAGATATAATATAACATTCACTTGAATTCTGTATATCTAAATGTAAACAAAGCACTTATCTCCCACTGGTTCCGTGAAGTGATGGAATTACTTAATGTTAGTATCGCGCTCCCCCTCCCCCTCCTCCTCCCTTGGTCGAACTATAGAACCTTCCCAGGCTGCAGCCACTCAACAGTTGATTAATTCCCGGGATACCTGTTAACTGATAGGTGATAAGAGGCGTTAGATGAAAGGAAACATGCCAAACCGTTTCTGTCCTGCCCGGGAATCGAACCCGGGATCCCTGATTATGAGTCTCGAACGAAGCCAAGAGTAATCTGTCCTGTGTGTGTCAATTTCTCTCTCCTTCGTGTGATGTTTGCGTCAATCTAGACACAAAATGCGTGTCAATTTTCCTCTCAAATCTATTTATTTCTCTCTTAATATTAGTCCTTCTCACCCCCCCACCCCATGCGATACACACGAGCCGTGGAGTGAGACTGAGACACATTCGCAGTGAACTTGGCAGAATTGACATGTTCCTGCAGGAGGGGCCAAGACATCTGTAAGACGTCACAGACAATCGTCCTTGGGGTGGCGGTATAATTTTTTTTTAGGGGTACCCTGCACGCTCACCCTTGCTAGTTGTTTACATCACAGTGAGTCCAGAGTGACTGGGCGCTCTCATGGTCTCCGTCATGCTTGTCTTCTTCCTTGAGGGACCAACACAAGGTGCAAACTTCTTGAGCAAACTAGTGGGAATAAACTTAAGAGATTATTGTTCTTGAACAAATCCACAAGGGCCGTGATGAGGGTTCGAACCTACGCACGGGATGTTCCCTGATGCTCCTTATAGTCAACTGTACGACGACATGGTAAAAGAATTGCAACCTGGAGTGCTTGTCTATACAGTATACCTAGGTCATAAAAGTATATGTGTGTACGTCTGATAACATACTACTTGTGAAGGAGGAAATGTATATGTTTATCTCTCAGAATGTTTGGTAATATGTTTATTTGTGATGTGTGTCTATGTATATATTAACACGTTGTACTGAATGGGGTGAGAATAGCTTGAGCTACCTCATCCCTTTGTGTGTATTTTACCTCAATAAACTTATTTCAATTTCAATTCAATTTCAATTACCTGGAGTGCTACTGCCTTCACGAGGATCCCGAAGCTTCTCACAACATATACTCTATTGTGATTTACGTGTGTATTATTGTCCTTGTTTTGGTTGGTGTTGGCCTTAAGGCCTATATCAGCCTACGGAAGGTTATTAAGGTCACCACAATTACTTACTGACCAACCAGCAAGTATACTATAGTCCTCAACATAATCCAGGACTAAAGTAAACTGAGTGAATATACACCTGGAAGCGGGGTATACCTGTCTTGTCATATCAACACCCACATAGATGTGTTGTCACAGGCTGCGTCCGTTAATTGCAAATAACCGTAGTGGGATAAGGTTATTAGAGCACTAACTACGTGACCGTGCATGGCGCCTCTATAAGAGCAGGCACCAGCCACGGTGCTGGTAGTAAAGCATCGTGGTGATGGTCAACGTGTCCATCCATCACTAAACATAGTATAAAGCTGATCAGAATTACATTTCACCATTATAAATTCACATTAATGCATTCCTAAATCTGTGTATCTATGTATTTACGTATGTAGCTTAGCCTAACATTTTAAAAGCACTACGATCACCTTCTGTGGTTGTTCAATAAATCTCTGAACTGTATGTTTGACAAATCTTTCACCCTGTCCATGGAGGACAGAAGAAAATGTATATATGTTAGTTAGCATTGTAAATGTGTGGCCACGTCTGTGGTAGAAAATAATAATAATAATAATAATAAAACTACAAACTACCATGGCATAGCGTGCTTAATAAGTGAAATAGCTGCTTGTCTATCCTAACGTACGCACTAAGTTCGTAGAGTAGTTCGCATTTTGCAACTGTGGTATAATGGTTATTAGTGCATATATCAAAATGCATGCATAACTACATTAAAAAATATATACTTATATAATAACAAGTTATTAGTAGGCTATAGATTTCTAGACACGCAACGATCGAGCTGAATAATACCACTGAAGTGCTTGTGCAAACTGCTTTCATATCATGCTGATTACAAGTAGAAATCATACCAGAATGATCACTGCTGAACTTTATAACAGCTGCTAATAACTTGTGCCAGTACGGTAGTAAATTAATACAATATTTTTCTATTGCAGTGTAGCCTGCTGTATAATGCAAATTGCAATTTCAGTTTTGCACATGAGCATTGCTATTAAGAAATTATTGCATTATTTGACAGCTAAATCATTATTTTTATATAGAATAATGTTCGAGAACTATGTCATTCAAAATAATTTAAAAGGGTTAGCCAAATTTTCTACACAGCTGTAGAAAATATTATGGAACACTATGGACTCATTGCATAAATATCTGGATTTAATACGGAACTATCTGAATTCATTATATAACTATCTGACCTTACTGCATAGCTGTTCATTACATTGTATAGCAGGCTCGTTGAGCTCGAAACTGCTGTTCCTCGTTTGTGTTACATCTGACCTTGTAAAGAAATTGTCTGGATCAACATTCCTCCAAACTGTTCAGTATTTTAAACGTTTCGATGAGATGAGCTTTGTCATTTCTGGTTTGCAGTGGTGTTAGCCCCGTGGCCCTCAACCGTTCCTGATATGTGAGTTGGCTTAGTTCTGGAATGATTTTTGTTACATGTTACCTAGCAG